GGGCAGGGGGGGCAGGGGAGAGGAGCAGGACTCACATGTCTTCAGGTGTCCAGTGTAACAGAACCTTCACCTTCCCAGAGTCCTCCTTCCTCCTGGCTATTACCTGAACACACAGACATGAAATTACACTCTGCTGCACGGCGTGACACATGACCTCCTGCAACTGTGTGTGTGTGTGTGTGTGTGTGTGTGTGTGTGTGTGTGCCCACCGTGCTGTGGAAGACCACGCTGTGTCCGTTGCCCAGGCTCTCGATGTGTGTTGCCAGGTTGAGGCAGATGGCTCGGTGGCGGATGGCGTCCATGGTCTGAGCGTCAAAGAAGTCATGAGGTCGTGCTGGAAACAGAAAATGGTTCTCAATGCGTCTCATTTTATCCTGTCAGAGTGTGTGTGTGTGTAACGGTGTGGGAATACAGTGAATACGTATGCAGCCATGCAGTATACCGTACATTGTGTGTGGTACATACGCAGCGAGCGCTTGTGTTTGTTCTTGAGTTTCCTCCTCTTGTTGAGGCCAGCCTTGGACGGAGACTCCTCCTTGATTTTGCCCTGACTGGACACTTTGGACGAGCCCTGGGAGCTGAAGTGAGTGGGGACGTGGCGTGCCAGCCCCCCCTGTGAGGCGAACGTGGCGTTGCAGCCCCCCACCACGCACTGTGGGAACACAGACGGTTGGGGGTGAGTGTGAGCCGAGCCGACGGACATGATGGAGTGTGTGATGTGAGCTGTGTGTCGTCACCTTGAAGGGTTTGTCCCCGCTGTGGGTCAGCATGTGTCTCTGCAGCCAGCTCTGACTGGTGGACGGAGTGTTGTACACCTTGCAGCCCTTCCACAGACACACAAACACCTGGGGGGCACGCACACAAACAGTCAGGACACACACACACATTGTAGCAGCGCTGGAACAGTTTAGCAAAGTTTAGTGAACAAACATCCAGGCAGCAGCTCCCACTTCTGTCCAGAACGGCCCACACTGCCTCTGCTTACCTGCACACCTTCACAGCATGACAAACGGAACTACACAACCTCCATGTCTGAAGGGAACCACCACGTAACCACGTCAGTGACTCAGTGAGTCGTTGTGAAATCAGGACCGACTGATCACCAGATTTGTTATTCAGCATTTTCCAGACTATCAGGACTGTTTTAACAGATTCCCGATAAAATGAACCACTTTAAAAATACAGCATGTGATCTGAAGCCATGCTCCGCCCACGGCACTGTCTGATTGGTTACACATCCCCAGTAAGGACCTATCAATACTGGTGATGAATACTGAAAGGTTCTCAGTGCTTGATGGATGCAAAGCAAATACATTCAAAGTTTCACCAAAGTTCTGTGTTGGAGTTTGTGTTGTTCTAAATTTTGAGCTCAAGATTTTCATTTTTGCTGCAAATCTACTCTGATTACAAACATCACGCCTCAGTCTCTTCTATTACTGATCATTAGCACCAAAACAAAACAAACTAATTATCAGTTAAGCCCTATCATGGACCATCACATGGCACAGCCTGGTCCAAAAAGCATTTTCACACAGAAAAAAAATGGAGTTACAGAAGCCTGAGGAAACGACATCCACAGCTTCCAGGAGTGTGACAGGAGTGTGACTGACCCACTCCACAGCGGTACCAGACACTGTGTCGTAGAGCTGTGGGTGGGAGAACGACCCGGCTGCATCAGAGCCAAACTCTCTGATAATCAGTCTATCAAAATAATGATACCAATCAGCATCAATAATTGGTTGGGCCGATTATCCATCAGCCCTTAGTCAGTACCGTAGTACTGTTCTGTCAGGACCGTACTGGCTAAAATACGCTCTGTTCTGATCGATGCTTAACATCCTGGTGTCCAGCGGTGCAGCTGTGCTACATCTGGAACAAATGCATGAGTACGCAGTGGATAACTGACTCTGGGCTCCATGATGTGTAAAAACAAGCACTTTGTGGAAATCGATGTCAAAACTTACTTTAAGTTCAGAATTAAAAGATGCTGGCTGGCTGGATTAGTGGCTACAGGACTAGTGGAGGGGGCTAGTGGTCTATATCCAGTGAGCTAGATGAACAGGACTGAGGATGGTCAACTGGATCTGGATCTGAGGTACCGACAGTCCTGTACAACCTGCATAAAGATGAATGCCTTTGAAGTGGTGCCCATTTAGTATTCTTAGTCTGCACATGATGAAAAAGAAGAAACAAAACAGCTGAATCATGTCTGACTTTTATTTCCCTTGTGCCTCAGGAAAAAAAAAAAACTGTTGATGGACAGCTTTATAACCAGGAAGTGTGCGAGCAATCTGGACTCTAGTGCGCCCTGGTTATCTTAGACTACATCCTAATTGTTTGGCAAAAAAATATTCAGTGTGTTCCAGTCATAGTACTCCAGTGCAGGATGCCAACGACGACAGGATTTGCATAATGCAAGCCAGCACTGCTTCTGGTTTGACCTACAATCATCTCTGCTGTTATGTCACACACTCTTGCGAGTATAAACAAGCTTGAGTCGTGTTCCTGCACTGGTGGCTGTTGAACAGGCCTGTTAGCACTGTGGTGGTGTGTTGTAGTCAGCGCTGACATATAAAGCCAGCTCTGCACTGTCACCTGCCTTGATCACAAAACAGCTCAAGACCAAACAAAACTTCAGGCGATGAGTTTCTGTGGCAGAAAATGAAACTTTGCTCTCGTGTGTTGTCGTCAACGCTGGCCGTCACATGTTGAGCTCATATTCAACTTTGCTTTTTGTGGTTCCGTTCTAACTACCAGCTGTTCTCTACGAGCAGCCACACCTGTGTTTTCATCAGCTCTGTTCCTGTGATGCCACACACACCGAGACACTCACCCCGCCTCTCTGTCCGTCCACATGTGTGGCTCTGATGTGCTCGGCCAGGTCGGGGCTGCTGGGGAACAGCAGCTGGCAGTGATCCCAGCAGCAGGTGTAGCTCAGAGACTTTCCTCCTGCTGGCGCTGAGCTGCTCACTGCCACCGAGCCGCCGCCATGGCCGTTGAGCATGGCTGGGGTGGAGCGACCACTGGACGCTGTGCTGTCCATGTCCATCAGGGTGGAGTTGATACTGGAACACACACAGAGGAGAGAGGGAGAAGACCTTAAACAGATGATGCTACACATGATCTTGACAAAATACACCAAAAACAAACAAAAACAGAAACACTGAAGCGTGCTAGAAAAACTAAATCACGAGGGTCAGGACAGACTGCAGCAGCTTTACAGGTGCAGATATGAAGCGTTCCTCTCTACATGTCACACAGAGAGCAGGACAGACTTCTGGAGATGTGTGAGACTGAAACCACTGACTGTTAGATCAGCTGTCAGAAAGCTGCAAACTGAATCTGAAACTGAGGGCGGTAATGTTAAAAACACTTTAACCTTTAGGTGCCAGATAAAGCAGTTACACAGAGGTCCTCACAGACTAAATACCCAAAACAACGCCACTAAACGTCATGTATGACTGTTGTGCCACCGTTTGGTTTTGAAGAAGAAGAAAACACAAGAAATGAATAAGTGGAAAACTCATTCTTTTAGATTAGCATCACTGCTGATTCTAATCTGTTGTTTTTGTCTTGTCTGGTTTTTATAAAACCATCAGTACGGTGAGGACACACACGTCCTTATCAAAAACACAGCCATGAAACTGATGTACAACGTTTTCCTCCACTTTCACCAGTTGGTCCACACACACAGTGGCACGACTGGTTTATGTACTAACTTTATATTTATATTGTAGTTTTCATGTACTAAATGCTGTTTTTCTTTGTATCATCAGACATGTCAGTGATGAGAGAAAACATGAATGTTTTTGAGCAGCATAACTTATAACAACAACAACTTCTGGTCCATGTGAAATGTCCACCGTTGTTCATTAACACATTTAATGTTCTGATATTGTGATTGGCCCATTACCTACTGTAAGGTCATATATTACAAACATAAAACCAAGCTGAAACAAGAACAAAGAAGCTGAGGATCATACATCCTCCCTTTCAGAGTCACCTGAGTCCTGCTCGTTGTCAGCAGGTGATCAGCTCCAGAGCTGACTGAGCTGTCCACTCTCTCTCTCCACCTTTCCAGATGGGATATGAAACGAGCAGCCCCCTCAAAGCTTCACACATTCATAGCTTTGGTTGAAATAGCGCCTGTGTGAACTCTGTTGTGGTTTAAAACCTACTAAACCACATAAACTAAGACATCCCTGCTGGTGTCACAGCAGTGGCAAGAAGCCCTGCAGGTCTTCTCCTTAAAGGCATGTGTGTGTGTGTGTGTGTGTGTGTGTGTGTGTGTGGACCTCTGTCCAGGGATGTGGGTGTGTGTGCACACGGTAAGGAGAAATTCTCAGTCAAGCTCACATTTTTTCTCTGTACAAAGCGAAGTGAAAACGACTGTGTGACGACCTCTGGCTCTAACTGATGTGCAGCTGTTTACACCTGCATGTATGAACAAAAGGACCCCCTACAAAGATGCACACATCACCACCACAACCAGACCACACACACATCTCCAAGGTTTGAGAAAAAAAAACAAAAAAAAAACAGTTACAAGCAAACATCATTATCACGTTGAGGAGGAACCTGTATAAGAATCTGCAGCCACAAATGTGTTGGAAGTCAAGTGTGGCACGTTGCAGTCTACGGACATACACAACAGGGTGTGTGTGACTGTATAATTGGTCTTTACTTGGCAGCTTCTGTGCTTCCACTAACTCCATAGCCTTTTCTTTGACTGCTTGGATGCTCTGCGGGGTGCCGTGCTTCTTCTCATACTCCAAATAGCGCTTTAAGAAGAATTTGATCTTCTTCACTGAATCACTCGATCTAAGAGCGCCCTGACATCCTGACATCCTTCTGTGATCCGTGTTTGACCAGGAGGTCGATGAAAATGGACCAGAGGTCGGTACGATTTGGGCAGCTCGTGAGGACTTTGTCAAACACGCTGAGACCTTTCTCTGTTTATTTATTCTCTGAATAAATGTTGAGGAACAGATAGCGGGGAAATGCTCTTGTGAGACAGTAATACACTGCTGTCAGTGTAGATTCACCATCCAGGTCAATCTGAAGAGCATCAGCAGAAGGCAGCTGGACCTCTATCTGGTTCTTTAAGATGCTTCACTTCTCATCCAAGAGCTTCCTTCAGCCCTCACTTGGACAAGAGAGGACTGTAGAATAACTGGTATGCTGAATATTGAATGGCTTCCAGTGCATCAGTCAGTAGTTTGGACAGATGGACTCAGTCGAGAGGATTTCTATTTTATAAAGTGTTTCACAAAACTGTGGAGGAGAAGAAAAATGCAAACGTCGGTTTCATATTTTAAAATTCTCAGAGTTGTTCCTGCCTGTGTTGATCACAGCTTTGGCTTCCAGTGAACAGGTGAGTCTTTTCAGAAGCTCACCACTGGGTTTAGGCTGATTCATGGTTTCATGACTGGTCACGGGTCAGATTTATAAAGCCCTCAAACATCACATGATCTGTTCATATACAATAAGTCTGCTGCAGACAGTCACACTGCCCTTCATACTGAACACAGAACAACACAGCCGGGATCTTCTGCATATTCCTATGAATCTGCGTCTTTGTACTTCTTACAAGTACAGCAGGTAGTTAGAGCCACATTCAACAACTGCAGTCGTCCATAGAGCTGCTCAGGAGAAACAACAGTCCATCTGCACCTTCACACATCACAGGGAAACCGTTCTTCTGCTTTCTACCACTGACGGCTCACTGTGAGTGGCAGCCTGGTCCTCAGGCATGACTCAGCAGTGGCAGGCTGGTCCTCAGGCATGACTCAGCAGTGGCAGGCTGGTCCTCAGGCATGACTCAGCAGTAGCAGGCTGGGCGAGAACTGTGGCAAAACTCAAGAGAACAAACCTGATGGAAAAACGTCATTTCTACTCATCAGCAGCAGCGACTGAGACGCTGTACCGTGACCCGTACAGTGTGTGACGTGCAGCAGTGGAGGTGTGCACAGGTTTCACAACACACACTGTTGGATTAGTCATCTCCCACCTTGTTGGCAGGACTGGTGTTTATGTGCTGAGCATGGTTAGACAAGTTCTGGCGAAGTTTCAGGATTTCGCGGTATCACGGCTCTGCTGACTAATTCACACACTTTCAATCTGCTGCTCAAGTCTGGAGGGGAAGTTCACGCTCAAAGTTTACAATGAAAAGGAGAAAAAAAGAACGAGACGGGACGGAAAGACGTTAAGCCATCGATCCATCTTCCCCCTGAACACCTTTTCATTTATCAGATTATAGGGCGGAACGATTCTTTAATGACAGATGCTGCAATTTGATGGTAAGATAATTATTTAAGTCCTGCTACAGTTCAACACTCACTGTGCAACAGATTTGAAGCGTAATGGAGCTGTACCACATAAAGCACTACCATAGTGTGACTGTCACTCATCAGTAAACCCACATACAGGACACTTTAAACTGTGTCTGACGTGTTACACAACGTACATCCTGAACGGCAGCAATGTGCATCATTTCAAATTGTGATTATAGTTTAAAATCAATGAATCATTCATCCTTCCCAGATGATTTCACTGATTTCATTAGTAATTAAATCAAATGTTTTCTGTCCTGTTATTGATGACGCATCGCCTCCTACATGTGATTCATGGAACCAGGGGACAGCAGAGGTCGGCTTTACTGCCAGTGTCCATTCCCAAACACTCACTTCACACAGTTTACCTAAAAGTCCATGTTCTGTTTCTGAGTAAATCCACAGGCCCATTATCGGGTCGGTGCTCCGTCTCAGCAGACGCACTGAACCTGGCTGCAAGAAACATCAGTCACACCGTTACACACGGACACCGTTGGATCAGTGAATCTCCAGCATCAAGGGCCGATTCACAGCGTCTGCATCAGTGTGGCCACGATGATCCACAGCAGGTCTCTGAGGTGAGCAGCCTCTGGCACGGTGGAACAAGGCAGGTAAGGGAAGTCGGCTAGTTGGCTCTGATTTTTTGGCCTGTCCAAGTCTGTGACAGGCACCATGAGTGGTCCAGACCGTATGACTGTGCAGCATCAGCAAGTAAGAAACCTGCAGTATGAACACCGAGCACTGTGTTGTTGTGGTAACGAGCAGGTAAATCCTATCCAGCATGCAGAAACCATGAACCGGTCTGAGGCCAAGACCAAGCAGAACAGAGCTCCACCACACAGCTGTCAGTCTGACTGAACATGTTGGCTGGTCGTAGCGGAGCGCCGACACTCAGCAGGTCCATCTCTGGAGCTTTGCTTTGTTCCACCTACAGTCCATCATAGATCAGCGATCACCTGCAGCTGGTTCCTCTGCTCCTCTGGGCTGCTCTGAGCTGTGACAGCACTCTGGTGTCCTGACTTTGACTCACAGGACTGAGTAACCACAGTCTGGGCTTCTATTTCAGCCTTAAGCCGAGTGTTATATCAGTAGTAGCGTTTGGTCAGCCTGGTTTATCTGAGTCATTCTTTTACTGGACGTCTAAACAGAGAGAACACTACATAATAAAGCAGGGATGCAAATTCTGACGCGATAGTGCAGCATTATCAACTAATGATCATTAATCACTGGTATGAATGCAAACATTGTTCTACGTGCTGGTAGAGCTTCTTGAAGTGCACACAGCCGACTTCTGCAGAGCTTCCTGTATCCTCCTCACTACAGAGCAGCTCAGAGGCCCACTGATGACACTTTCTCTGTGATGCCAGAAGTGGCAGCGAAACATTCAGGATGGACCTAAATTAAAACCAGCACTCCAGTACAATGGAAGAGTTGCCCCTCAATAGCCAGACTATTCCAGCTGACCAGTGATGGTGGTGCTCAGGCTCCAGGATCAGCTACGACCCGCAGGGCAACTCTGGCGTCGAGACTACAGCCGACATCACAGGCCGAGGACAAGACGCCTGATTTTGTCAGCATCAGATAGTTTTAGAACAGGACAGAGTTACGGTGTAACACGGTCTTCTACACAGAGCTCTGTGTGCAGCCTCAATGCTGATTTCAGTTTGCTGCGAGTCTTTCAAAGCCAGTCAGTCCTGGAAGTGTTTGGTGAGCCCAGCTTGACCTGCAGGAGCTTCTGAAGGCTCTTGTCAGCGTCTCAGGACGTCTTCACTGAAGAAATGAAGCATGAAACTAATCTTACAAACAGCCAAGAATTACAGCTGGAAATATGAAAAATAATGAGCGAGCACGACAGGAGAAAGTGACGAACACCACGTAGCTCTGTCCCAGTATATTTACTGAGTTCTCATCGCTGTAGGAAGCAGAGGAGAATCTGGGAACTAAACCAGTTTTTTGTCAACCACTTGTTCTTCACATCAGCTGCTATTAGACCCGTTTCATGTGGTCCAGAGGCAAAGTCAATAAAAGACGCAGAACCAGCTGATTAGTCGTATGAGGCACGTGTTCATGATGTGAAGGTGTTCCCATCTCCCAAGACTCAGAAAAGTCCACCTCCAGCACAGAAACATTTTTTGCAGAATTGATTTGTTTCTAAACTGCTGCACCGTCAAGTAATTTCTTTGAATGCAATAGTTCAAAATGTGCATATTAATGTGCTCTAAACAGAAGGACTCGCTTGTTCTGAGCTGAACAGCGCCATAGAGAAACTTTCTGATCTGTTTCCTGTCCTCACAAAGACTTTTTCTCAGGAACAAACGCTGGAGACGGGAGTTGGTCTTCTAATCAGGGTCGCCCAATATTCAGGCCAAACGGCACTAATATCAGAAAATGTGTCACAGATTACAGACCATGTTCCAGAGGAGGGACGTGGACATGTGCTGCTCGTGGGTGGTCGCCTTCCACCGCTGTGAGCACCTGTTCATGGCTGTCGCAGAGAAACGTCAACTTCTAACTGCAGTTACACGCGATTAGTAACCTAATAATTAACAAAAGCTAATGAAAAAGATAAGCTGCCCCCTGAGACAATATCCCAACACTTCCTGCAGCTGCTTCCTGGCATGATATCCAATAATCAAGTCAACCTGCTCGAAGGCTTTCACCAGGAAACAGCTGCAGCAAGTGTTCTGTTTGCATTAAAAGCATACTCATATGGCAAACATCTGCTCTCCAGCAACCACTGACCGCAGTTTGTCTTCCTACGTGCTGCTGCTTCAGATGGGTTTGAGTCTGTTTCTGTGTTTATCTGGTCAGAAAGATTCCATAAAAACAAACTGAAGCAAACTTTCTTTCTTTTTTTTTATAAGTCCAAAGTAAAGTGATCACTAAGTCCTGTAATATTTGGTTTTCTTGTTAACATGTTGGCCTCTTTGGGTATTCCACTATTAAAAACATCTCTCTGTTCTGAGGAGCCACCGGCCAAACTGAACACATCATGATAAGGTGAATCCCTCTTTGCCGTCTCTACACAGAATCAAAAACTTGAGCTACGTGAGAAAATGTAGAAATTACCACATCAGCTGTCAACTATTAAATTAACCGCCAACAATTTGGTCAACTGATTAAAATAATAATAATAATAAAAATAATAAAAATATCTCAGTATTTTCTCATTTCTTCCTCTGTGGGCATTCTCATCATTTACTGACATTTCTATCGAGCACAGAATGAGCTGATTAAATGAACTGGTCTCCAGATGACCTTGACTGGAATCAGGTCCTGCTGTCAGGTCAGAGGTCAGACCTCCTCACTGACTGAGCATTAAGGATAAAACAGGGACTCCTGATGCCCCTGATCAGACCAGTGACTCCCTGCCACCCCAGACCTGCCTCACCAGCTCACCTCTGACTATCCTGGTCCACATGCAGAGTTCTGTTTAATCCGTCTGAATAAAGCACACGTGGGCTAATGGGACATCCAATAATACTAACTGTATTAATATTGTTTCTACACATCAGCTGTGCTGGTCCAATGATAATGATCACAGACAGCAGCTACATCTAAGTTCTGATGAACTCCATTAGACGGATGTAGGAGGACTATATTTACAGGCGGAAGTGGACCAGTGACCGAGCTGCTCCAGGCCAACTTTAGGCTGAACTTGGCATCGTGCGGTGACCTATCAGCACCTCTGCTCCTAGAAGCCGGAGGAAGGCCTCCACACAGCGCTTATACTTGAACAGACCTGTCTTCTGAGTCCATCCGGCTCAGCGGCTCTCCATCCGACGAGGTCAGCTCCACGCTGGCCCGTCTCTTGGTGCCGTGCTCGGCTTTCTCCGCGGTCTTTGTGCGGTGGGCCGGCGGTGAGGAGGACACGTTCTCTGCCTCTCTTTGTTCTTGTTTCAGCACCCGGGAGCCCTCTTGTGCGGAATCAGTGCTACTTGCCAAACTCCCCTGTACGGGACTTTTCCCCGGCTCGGAGAGTTTACCGCCGGCTTCCCCTCCGTCGTTACCGTCTTTTTCGCTCGGCGAGGCGGTCTCCTTGTCGGCGTCGGGACCGGGAGACAGGTTGTCCCCGCGCCCCTCCGCCGCACCGCGACCACTGCTCCCGTCCATTCCTGCTCTGCTCTCGTTGTTGTCGCCCGGTTCCTGTTTGGGGTCCGGCTCGGCCTGTCCTTCCACGCCGGTTTCTGCTGTTTCACCGGTGCCGTTCTGCGTCGATGTCGGTTCAGAATCTTGTTCGGCTCCTTCGGTCGTGATCTGAGGCATTTTGGGAGAGCACGAGCAGCTAATTCGGGGATGTTCCAGTGAAAAGTTGCCCTCCGGCTGCCCTTCTTCTTCTTCACTTACTCCGCTTTAAGCGTACAGCGCAGCAGGGGGTGTGCGTGACGTAGCGCCCCGCATGCTCAGAGCTGGTCTCTCTGTCGGGAGGTCTCACTCCGCCCTGAAACACGAGGCCACCAACAAGTTTGATGTTTGTCTGCAAACACCAGTGGATCTGGAACCAGAACAGACTAGAATGCTTTATTGTCATCATACACAAAGTACAACGGAACTAAAACATCACTGCAGTGGTGCAAAATACAAGCATGAAATAAGACAAATAAAAATACAGAAATATATTTACAGAAGGAGCCAGTAGGGCGTCGATACAGTCAGCGATGAGCACGGCAGCAGCCAGACGCTAGAATGAATAAATATATTGCACTGTTGAAATAAGAACACTGAGGATATATGATGAATACATTTCCCTGTTCAGACTGTGGAGACTAGTGTGAGTTCAGTACCCGTATTGGACTTGGGTAGAACGTGTTGGAGAGTCTGGATGTGCGGGCCTGGATGGACCGGTACCTCCTTCCTGAGGGCAGCAGTGAGAACAGGCTGTGCCCGGATCAGAACCATCCAAGGTGATGCTTGTGGCCCTGCACAGACATCTGGTGTCATAGATGTCTGACAGAGAGAACAGCTGTGCTCCCATGATGCTCTGTGCTGACTTCCTGACCCTCTCCAGAGCCTTCCTGTCAGCCTGAGAGCAGCTCCTGAACCACACCAAGATGCTGTGGGTGAGGATGCTCTCCACAGAACACCTATAGAAGGACAGCAGCAGCTCCTGGGACAGGTGGACCTTTCTCTCAGTGACCTTGAAAAGTCCAGACGCTGCTGTGTCTTTTTCACCAGGGCGTTGGTGTTGGTGCCCCACAGAAGGTCCTGAGAGATGTATGATCCCAGGAACCTGAAGTCACTGACCCTCTCTACGGTGTCCCCCTGGAGGAGAAGGGGGGTCCTCCCTGTTACTGCCTCTGAGGAGTTGAGTGACTATATATTATACATGCATTTAATTTTTATTAAGTATTATTATTGTTGTTTACATGGTCTAGAACCGCATCTGTTCACTTTTAATACTGAACACAGAACAAAGCAGCTCTCACCTAAATGCAGTGTTAGATATTTCCCAATGCTTAAACAAATATAAATCGATTTAATTGTACTAACGACAAAAATAACGCTAATGAAGCAAAGCTAATTATTGTTCCTCCACATCTCAGTAAATAGCTGACCTATGCTGAGCTCTCCTGGTCTTGTTGAACTTCAGGGAGCACACCGATTTTTTTTCCCCACGGAGTGAATCATCTTCGTGAGAATAGACGAGCTCTGGCATTGTGGCTTCTCAGCTCCACGTGTTCCGACAAACAGAAAAATGATCCAACTCAGAAAGTGCTGAAAAGGCACGTTCTTATCTCAGCAAGGTGCGTGTTCCTGAAGGCACCACGGCCGCCTTTGGTCCGCTTTAGCCGGCAGGACGGCACCGAGCCTCTCTGGTGTTAGTAGCGCTCCCTCCGCTCGGTCTGTTGATGCCGGGAACCGGGCTGACCTCAGAGCTCGACTTGTTGCGTTGAGATCAAGGCCTACCTCTGGCTGCTTGTGCTGGGATGCAGAGAAAGTGCCCTCTGTGGGGCTATTAAACAGCTCACAGCTCACAGGGCAGGTGTTGAAAATGGATAGAAAACATTTCATAACCATTTTAAGTGTTGAAACATTTTTGTTCAGGCAGAAGCAGCAAATGTTTGATGGTTTAAAGTTGTTGGTGGATAATAATAATAATAATAACAACAACAATAATAATAGTACATTTATTGACACCACCTATGACTTCTGGTTGGTTAATAAAGAAAACACTTGGCAGAATCATCAACAATAGAAATGAGTGAAACATGCATATTGTTTTTTGCACTTTGATGCAAACTTTGCAGAAATAGAACTTTTTCAGACCTTTTGTTTTGACAGAACAACCTTCAGATCCACCCACTGGCCTTTTCCAGTGCCTACAACCAGAGAACATCGTCATCAACCTTGGATGGAGTTTTCCAGCCACATGGTGCTTACAGTAGAGCCCAGAATCATTCATAGCCAAACCAATCGTGGATTTATGGTGAATTTTTTTTTTAATCATTAGGTTTCTTCTGGCTGGAAATGACATAAACAAGTGACCAAAGACAGTAAAGCACAGCATTAAAGACTTTAATGTTTTTGAAACTATTTCAGTGTTTGTCTTTTTGTTTTTACTAAAAATGCCATGCCCAGAATTATAAATCAATATTGAGGCCTTTCTACCACATGAATCAAACAGTTCTTACATGTTTTAGGAACCATCCTGCATGTCTCCACTGGGAATCAGAGCCACTCCTCTTTGGTCTTTAGTGTTGAAAGCTTCCTCACTATCACTCAGATTTCCTCCTTAGATTCCAGATGAGATCTGGATCTGGATTCTGGCTGAGCTGCTTTCACATGTTCTCATATTGTTTTCTGTAAACCATTCCTTGACCGTGGGCGGCACAGTGTGCAGTGGTTAGCACTGTCGCCTCACAGCCAGAAGGTTCTGGGTTTGAATTTTAGGCCCGGGATCTTTCTGCGTGGAGTCTCCATGTTCTCCCCGTGCAGCGTGGGTTCTCTCCGGGTTCTCCGGCTTCCTCCCACAGTCCAGAAACATGTTGAGGTTACTTGGTGATTGTAAATTGTCTGTAGGTGTGAATGTGAGTGTGCTTGGTTGTCTGTCTCTAAGTGTAGCCCTGTGATAGACTGGTTACCTGTCCAGGTGAACCTGCCTTCACCCTGAGTCAGCTGGGATAGACTCCAGCCCCCCACAGTGAGGTTTAAGGTGTAGAGACGACGGATGGATAGTAACTGAGAAGAGAACTATCACATCAGCTGTTCTCGGTTCATAGTGAATTAGAAAGCTCTGCAAGAAATATGAATAATTTTGGACATTGCCGTTTTTGGTAAAAATTTACGAATATACACAAAAGTTTGTCGTAACATCTTCAACACAGTGTCTCAGCATGTTTGGCCATTCATGTAATTTCCAGCAAAAACCCCCAAAAAACATGTTGGTCGAGGAAAAATACATTCTAAATTAAAATTCAGCTTGAAAAAAAATTGGGGTTAACTGTATCATGTTATGCCCAAGGCAGCGACGGCCGTCAGAGAGGTCCCATAAAAAATGTCATAAAAAGCGATCATCAAAGGCCCAGTTCGTTTCTGTCTGTTTGAAGGAGTCACAAGCCAAGAGGTTGGGAACCACGCGCACAACCACAGTGTGAAGAGAACCGGCTGAAAAGCAGAAGTTCAAAAAAGAAGAAGAAAAAAAACAACAACTTACAAGCATGTTTAAGAACATCAACATTTATTTCACATGATATAAAACAGATGGGGTATGAACTTTTTGCATATTGACCCTAATAATATTAATAATAACCTCTTATAGTTATAATATTCACTCTTCTTCTTTTCAGTGTGTACATAAATTATGCTATCTTATTTTATTTTTGTTTTTTTTGTCTTTATTTTTTACAGTTTATACATAATTTAAATTTCTTTTGTGTCCTGGAGCTCCACAGTCCTACTTATTGCTTCGTACATGTGCTATTCTCCGATTCATCACCACCTGCCACAGCTTCAAAATCACAATCCGTGTCATGTTCGTAGCCTCTTCACTGTGTATCTTCTAAGTGATGCAAACCAAAGAGAGACAAACAAAAGACACACAAACTGAACAAGCAGACTGCAATCCAACACATTCACATACTGCGTGTGTGGTGAACGGCCGACTTCAAACCATCTGCTTGGCATAAATAACTTCATCAAAACACTGTGTCCTGGCCAAAAAAAGGGAAAAACAGCAGCGCATATATCATATATATACATACATAAAATATATGCTGTGCTGTCGGTGCATAAGGTGAGAAAATGCAGAGCGATAAGGGATCCTCCAGTCTTCAATCAACACAAAGAATCAAAATCAGAGCAGGTTAAAATCAAAGCGGTCACTTTGGGGTAACATAAAGCACTGCATGTGTGTTGGGTTTTGGTGCTTAGCCCATCTGTGGTGAGACTTCTAAAGTGCTCCTATACACAGCTTTACACTCGCCTTCAGCAACTCACAAACAGCCAACATTCCCTCCTCCAGATCTGTAGATTAATCTAATTTTATTAATAATTATGTTAAGATGACTTTAATACTTAGTAAGGTATCAAAAGCTCTGTATATCGATGTGTGTGTATATATTTGGCAACACAGTTCTATGGTGCTTTATTACCCCAAAACAAGTCACACATACGATAAAGATTGTAAAATGGTTTTGTTCTATTTATAGCTGTAATTCTTGTTTATCCAGAAATATTCTTTCATGGCCTTTAAGAGGAAAAAAAAGCAAAACAAAACTGGCACCCAGCGTCTGTGATGGCTTTAGACGGTGAGCTAGCTGATGGATGCAGAGAGACGGTCCAAAGAACAGGACGGAACCGTTTAAAAATGCAGTAGTCTAGGTACGTGTTTCAATCAGCATCTGGACACGCTGCCTTTTTACACGTACAACGACCAAACAGGCTTTAGTGATAAATATTCATTATAAATACAGGAAGTCGGCATTGAAAGTTTGCCTTCCAGAAACCCCCATAAAACGGCATCCAGGATGCATCCTGGCCACATCCTCCAACCACCTCAACTGGTGCCCTTCAGGTCTGAGCTCCTCGTCCAGTCTGAGGTGAACCCTGTCACCCTGTTCACTTTACCTACATCCAACCATGATCTCCTTCTTTAAGTCACTCCCCAAAGCTCATGACCAACGGCGATGGTTCTGATCTTTAAAGCTGTACCATCGTCTTCAACTTCAGCTCCTGCTTCACCTTAAACGTCCAATAAAGTTCACCCATCAGCCCCACTTCCTGTGTTCCTCTCACTTATGAATATGGCCTTCAGATGCTACAGAGGTGTCCAGCATGCTTTCTTGAAACACACCCAAACCAGTTCAGCTGGTTCCTGTCTATATGGGAAGTAGGGCTGGACCAGAATAGCCGACTAGCCGACGGTTCGCTAGCTGTGCTGGAATCGGGATATCAATTCTCTGAATATCTCCCTGGTCGCCGCCGACACTGATGGCGGATACACCTAAACTGGTCTTAGTAGCCAAATGCTGTCTGTCCATGTGTCCCGCCCACTTCCACCCCGGCAGAGACTGCGTGCCCCCCTGCAGAACAAATACTCAGCCGCCATCCCCTCCCAACTGTTCGGGATATTCGTCATTAATTGGACTGAATATCCGGAGAACAGAAAATGCTACCAGCCCTAATGGGTGCCGGTTCTACTCTGAGCTTCTTGTGGACGTCTGAACTCCTCATCCAGTCACTAAGGATGAGCACCTGCCTCGGAGACTAGTTTCATCTGCTTGCATTTGTTATCTTGTTCTTTTGGTCTCTACCAAAAGCTCATAGATAAGGGTTGAAAAGTCGACTTAAAACAACCAGAGGCTCTACCTTCAGCTTCAGTTGCTACTTCACCTGAACAGTCCTGTACAATCCACCCGTCATGTTCCCCTCATTCATGAACATGACCTTCAGATGCCTGAAGTCCTTCACCCTGGTGCAACAAGTCACTCCTCACCCCAGAGCCAGCTACCCAGCTCACTCTGCTTTCCAGCCACGTCCTCGTAGGTCAGTGAGGTCGCAGTGTTAGGAAGCCAACAGAACCATGAATCCTGAAGAGACTATAATGAATATTTTCATCCTGTGGCTGCTTCTAGAGATTTTGTCCATTAAAGAAAGCAAACAGCACAAGGGAGTACCGTGATGGAACCCAACACGTCCTGATAATGTGCCCAAATTCCTATCCTCTCCAGGAGAAGGACTAAAACCATAAAACAATGAAATCCTCAGATACTACTGGGGAAAATGTCTGCCAGCTCCTTCGTTTTATTTTTCTACTTTTCTACTAAACCAGTTGTGCGGAACAGTACGAGGCAGTAATGAATAAAGCTGCGTAATGAGTCTGCCTTTAACCATTTCTAAATCTCAAATGGAAAGATTTAGAATATAAAAGGCTGCGTCTTGTGAATTTAAATGAAAGCTTTTAAAAGAAGCAGACAAACAAAGCTCTTAAAAAGTTCAATCTCTGTAAATCTCTGTAATCTGTAAAATGAAAAGGAACAGGCTGTGAACAGCTCTGGGACCAAGACACAAAGAGGAGACGGTTACACCAGGAGCACAAAGATGAGCCTCATTACCAACACCTACCCCAGTGTTTGAGGCCTCGTGGGCAAGAACAATAAATCTGAACTGCAGTGGACGACACATGTGGAGAGCGGAGGAAACATACATCTGATCCACTTTTACAACTCGACTGGCTAAACAGATGATACTTGTTCTAAGAAGTATGTGCTGATTTGAAAAAGTTCCATCTTTCTGTCAGCATTAGTGTTCATCAAGACAGGAAGCCATCAGAAACAAACTAGCGTATACACGTCCCTTTCTTATTAAACCTCTGTGCTTGACTGGATGACAAAGTTTGGTCACGTGGTTTAAAACTTCAGTCTACCCTTGAGTTAATCGCCTGGTCCTTGGTTTACTGCTTCCTTTCCAGTAATGGACTTAAAATGGTTGTTGGAACCCAGAAAAAGGGTTTATTGTAATTGTATGCTTGCTCGGGTAGGTTTTGGTTAAAACACATCATTTGTAACCTTCACATTGACTAAACCATTTCACAATCTTTTTTTTAATGCAGACATGTTTGGGGACAAATGGGACTCCATAGATGTATGTTTTGCTTGAGGACATATCAGTATGGACAGATCTAACAGGTGCTAAAGATACAGTACATCTGCCTCTCCCTGTCTGGATGTGATGGCTGCTCGTCTGGGTGTTGGTCAGTCGGTTAGCAGCACCGTCACACTCTCTCCTTCTCCATGTGGGCATGTAACAGTAGTGTCAAAGTAGTTCTGTTGTAAACGCAGGAAGCCATGGAGCATGCTCTGTGCAGACTGGCTACATCTGGGCTCTACGGGACGCCGGTGCGGATGTCGAGGCCAGCATCACTCACGTGTCGCTGCTCACCAAGGTGAACGTCTGCGCTGCAGGGAGGAGAGAGAATGAAAATACATGATATTTTTACTTGTTCTGCCTCTGTTGGTACCATACTGCCCCCATGAGGGGCGGCAAGATCAGTCAGTACAGCAAAGTGCACTAATGAGGCTGTCTGTGCCTTTTCCTGCTACTTCTGACCATTTGATGAACAAATACGTCTTTTATACTCGAGTAAATGAAGCCCAAATTAACAAAACGGAAAACTCCTGCATTCTACCGCCAGTGAATATCTGCTGGTGAAACAACACCATGTGGAGCATTTTAATTGATTCATTTTAGAAGTGCTGCAGGAGTGGCGTTGTTTGCGTTCCTACATGTTGTAGCTTTATCATTTCCCCACTAGAGGGCGCTGCCTGTTTACATTACACACCACATGTTCCTGCACAAGAAAACTGATGGATCCAGTCTGTGGACGCAGTAGGAGCTCTGTTTTAAACAAGCGTCTGCAGCACACCTGCTGTTTCAGTTCATGTGTGTGCAGCAATAAAATGTGCAGCAGTGCTGGATTTGTATGTAAACCAGAAGGTGTGGTGGTTCATCAATTTAGCCTTAGCCAATAGCATCGCTGGCTGCAACAGCCGAGCTGAACACGGTGAGGTGTGACGACAACAGTTGAACAAAAGGAGGACGTCAGACTGATGTGTGGATGGTGCCTGGACCTGAATGAACACCTCAAATCTGCAGCCAGGTGCAGATAGCGTGGGCTTTTATTCAACTTCCAACAATGAATACAAAAAACCCCCAAAAACAAACAAACAGATGAAACTATTACCCCCCCCCAAACTTCTTTACTGTCATTTCAATGCACTTCCAGGATGAAACAGGAAATGCTTCTTTTTCTAAAAAATAAAATTGGTAATGACACAAATAATAAAAAGTTATAATCTGATAAACAACATCTGACATAAACAGAGGGTCTGAGTCCTCACCATGGGGGTCGAGCTGTGTGTGTGTGGTTACTGTGTGTTGGCCTGCTGTCACTTGATTGCAGTATAATGTCAGTGCACGTCTTAACTCAGCACACATATCAATACATGTGTCCTGCTGCCTCCAGACTGCTGCAGGGATTTACCTTCAGCTCACTAAATCCCTTCATACACAGCAGCTGTGGATCGCAGGTCCCGTAGGAACCACTCATACTATTTTAGAAATCAAGGTAGAAAGATTTACTGCAGTTATTTCAAATTCACTGTTGTGCTGATTTAAACACATCCAGATTCTGGAAAATGTTTCAGTGGCAGCAGATTTATGAGCCAGAACTGAGAACATGTATATTTTTGAGGGTTTTGTGGGTCCTCAGAGCAGTCTAAGATGAATTTCACACCAAAATACCAATGACTCTCTTTGTGCTGCCACGGCTGAATGAACGTCCCACCTGTTTGTGCCTCTCCTCACACCTGCGCTCAGTGTGCTCAGTGCCGGATACCAAAATACCACACAGGTGCACAAACTCAATGCCACAGAATTACAGAGCTGTGGGAGTGCGACTTTCATTGACATGAAGAAAACTGATTTGTTAAGCGAGTCACTCCATTTTCCTGCGGCCTGTGCTCATCAACCACTCAAAGCAGTGGGGAATGAAAACTGAACTAAAATAGAAGACGGTGCCATCTGTCTATTGATTTGGATCATTCCAAAGTGGAAAACTAATGCTGACAAATAGTGTGGAAAATGTATTCTTCTAAATGCTGAAGTACAGCCATCTATCAGCCCGTTAAACTCCACAATGGTTCTAAATACAAACACACATTATGGCTTTGGCTGGAAGTCTGCAAATCTCGGTTCGCTGTGAAAAGATGCTGCAGTGTGTCTCAGATAGTCTGAAACAAAAATGCTTCTCCTGACAGTCTGATGGGTCCTAAGTAAACTACACACACATCTGTGATGTTAAACTTCAGCCTCCAGGAGCAGCAGCTGTGTGGGTGAAGAAAGAAAGAAGTAAATTCTCCCTGCTGCTTGCCTGAAGGGAGAATTTACCTTCAGTCAGTGAGCTTTTCTTATGTTCACAATAAGAAATCAGACACGCACAGGAACACACGCAGACACCTGGCAGCTGCACAGTGTGACTTATGCTCCTGGCCACAGAGAGGCGTCACAACTGGGAAGCAATATGAGTTAATGAATACTTTAACATTCTGGAAAATGCACCTGTTCACTTTCCTTCTGAGAGAAGATATTCGTCTTATGTTTGTCCTCAGTACAGAGCTGAAGTCAGGATGTGATTAGCTCAGTTCATGCAGGACTGGAAGCAGGGCGCCACAGTTTGCATGGTTCTGTCCAATGTTCAGAAACGCACCGACATATGGTTTAAATGTGCTCATTTTCTCCACTTATATAGTCTTTGAAAATCTAGAAATTGTCCTGTTTTTAATATCTGTACATATCTATTTTGTATTTTACGCTACAGCCTCTATGTCCAAATTCAGAAACACTGAGTGTAAAACACGTCGTCATCAACCTTAATAAAGAGCAGAAGAACATTCGAAGGTCTAATATTTTACTATCCACCAAGCAAACTGTGAAATCTTCAGACTGTACTAGTTTAACAGCCTCATTTTATTATCAATATCTTATAGAGTAAAAGATAGTCTTACTGTAGAAAAACTGCCAGATTTACCATTTTAATATCAGAGCATCTTTAAAGGTGTTTAAGTGGTCATAACGTTGTTCATTCTGGAAGAAGGTGGAATGTGTGTCGACTCTTGGAAAGAGATTGTTTGTAGGAGGTCTTACTTACATGCCAACATGTTGTTGTTGTTGTTGTGTTTCTTGTTGTCTGTTGTCAGCTTGTTGTATGAATCCAGGCTCCTCTCCAGGCTCTCCTCTCTGGTGGTTTGCTGCTTCGCGTCCGTCTCCTCCTCTTTAGGCTCTGGGCTCGGCGTCTCAGGCTCTGGAGTCTGGAAGCTACAGTTAGCAGAAGCAAAGGGGGTCACACTTAATCTGCAGCGACAATAATGAACACTAGAATGTGGCTCCAAACACCTGGCTGCATGGATCCCATAGAGCTACATAAAATGAGTCATATTTCTATCGTTGACAAGTAAATAAACCTCTGTCTACGTCTTTCTGGTGAAGCATTCATAGTAATCTCTCATGTCTGTTGAATAGTTTACATCTTTGGGGCGGCTGTGGCTCAGGTGGCAGAGCAGGTTGTCTTCTAATTGCAAGGTTGGTGGTTTGATCCCCTCCACAGTGGAAGTGTTCTTGGGCAAGACACTGAAGCTGAAGTTGCTCCCAATGGCAGGCAGCACCTTGCATGGCAGCTCTGTCACCACTGGTGTATGAATGTGATCTACTCTCAGATGTACGCCGCTTTGGGTAAAAGTGTCTGCTAAATGAAATCGTATTCTATCTTCAGTTGCAGTTGAGCTGTGGCGTTCCCAGTGGCAGGACAGTACCAATGAGGGTTTTTACCTTTAACTTTGGATGATATCCACGTCACATGTGTAACTCAGACTGCTATAGCCTACAAGAGGAAAGCATGTTGGCCATGCGGAGCCCTGCTAAGTTAAAGCCATTTGAAGCTAGAGGTGGAGAGACACCTTCTAGTGGTCATGGTAGGTTTTGTTGCTTGAACCAGCTCATGTGAAGCGAATCAGAAACACAGCACCAACTAAAAACTCAGCCATACTGTAAGCAGCACGCACTAACATGTGTTTCTACAATGTGTCTTGACCCTAACACCAAGTCTTAACCCTCAAACTGACCTCCGTACAAACACAAATGCCAAGGTCTACAGCCCCACTCGGTCCTAAACAGACGCACAACTCACACACCTGTTTTCTGTGGTGGTGTTTGTAGGAGAGCTGGTCAGGTCTTGCTCTCTGCTTTCGTCATCCTCAAAGGGCTGAAAGTTCACAATCTCCACACGCTGAGGCTCTGTGCCCAGGTCCAGAATCACCACCCTCTGGCTTTCACACAGCTGCAACACACACACACACGCACACGCACACACACACACACACACACACACACACACACACACACACACACACACACAGACACACACACACACAAGAACACATACTTTTGTTAGAAAAAAGATGTACAATTCTGTGTAAAGGGCAGTATAACTAAAAGAAATGGTTTAGTTTTCAACAGGAGCTGTGCTGTCAGTGCTGTGACCTGCAGTACAAGCTTGAGAAAAAGTAAATCTGATATCAGATAAAAACAATCAGCAAGTGAAAACCAAAAAATAATCAAACAAAATCAAAATAAAATAGTCAACAAATGAGAAACTGGATGAATAAAAGATAAAAGATAAAGAAATCGCTTCAATGGTGAATGAATGAAAGTATGAGTCAGTGTTTGTCTTGCACTGCTGAGGAATGAGGGTGGTGTGTACGCTCCGGTGGCATCCCATTGGAGAGCAGCCCAGACCCAGCTGCTACTGCTGGCTGAATCCAGGAGATAAGCCAGCTAAAGCCAACCTGGCTTCCTCCACGTTCCCCAAAAAATCCTCTGTTATTGTCCCAGATTACACTGGGAGACACAATGGCCGATTAGCTGCTCTGTGGCAGACAGGCCTGGGATTATAGACGGTAAATTTAACAGTGAGAGCTGGAGTTCCTTTGTTTGTCCTCCACCTGCCACCTCCGACTATTGTAGCAGTTTACCACCGGCGAAGCTCTCCACCACACATATTGTTGTTTCAAACGACTACCGTGCCTTTCACTGATTTGTGAGCTGGCCATTAGTCTGCTGGATGCCACCATTCACTATAATTTTCTCCCTTATTCTGCCGGCAGGTTCCTCTGTTTGGCTCTATATACACACTGTTTAGTGCAACAGTTATGGCTCTTCTGCTGACAACACGCAGTGGTGGGAAGTGGATTTACTTTGATAACTATTATTCTGATGTATTGCACTTGCTTTGCTTTGATACATGATACACTTTAACCAGCTGCAACGTCAACGTGATGAACACATGAATGCATCAGTAATTATCATCTAACAATATAATACTATTCTGAAACAGGCCTCTCTGCATAAGCAATCGCTTTACTTTTGGTGAAGTACACATAAAGTACTCATGCTGTTGTACTTTTACTGAAGTCAGATTTTGAATGCGTGACCTTTACGACCATCCCAATCACTGACCACCTCTGTGGCCAACCCACATGTGACAGGTCAGGTTCATTTACTGACACTCTGATGCTGTAAATGCAACTACGCTGTCCGGCTGTGTGCATCCCATCCATAGACATCAGAGATAGCACATAAGACCTCAACGTTGTCTGGAGCTCACATTTCGTTTGTTGCTTCCAGCTGTTTGTAGGAGTCTGTCCTCTGAGTATATCACACACCTGCACCATAAGATAGCAGCAGAATGAATACGAGCATCTCCAAAGAGAGAGAGAGCTGTGCACATTAAAGCACCACGTAACACAGGACTAATGGGATCCCTGACGTGGAGACAGGATCTATCAGGATTTAGCAGCAAATGGCACTTTTCCTCCCTTCAGACAGGTGAGCTGTCACACAACGATAAGCTGCAGTTCAATGATTTGTTGCACAGTTGAGTCTTAAGCGTCACAACAGCAGGATATCACTTTACTGTCAAAAACTAACCTTTTTTTTTTTTTTTTTTCTTTTACTAAAATCCACGTAAATCCATCTCTTCTATTAAGCTTTTCTATTGGGGAGATTTCTCTGGATCACAGATCATGGAAGCGTTACTGAATGTGACCTCTCTAGTCAATGAGGCAATCGGTAGTCCTTCAGCGATAAACACACGTTGTATTGCACTATGATTGGATTTAGTTTGATAAATTATCATCCCATGTGGACAGAATGCTAGTGTTGGAATCACAAACAAGCCATCCATGTTTGAATTATGGGTATGCGCTTTCCCCTCAGATGCTCTGCAGCATCACTTGTTCTGGACCATTTTGAACAGTCGTCATCCCAACAACCAAAATGTCAGCTGCACCTTTAGCTAGCATTGCACATCATATAAATGGTAGTATTAACTATAAAATAAGAAACCAAGGTGTGCCATTTCTTAACTGTCACCTTGACATAGTGTTTAACTAGCCTCTGGACTACAACAGGAAAACAGAATTTCTGAAACATAGCTATGGTTTTTGGTTTTGTGCCCCCCACAGATTGTCAGCAGCCCCATCTGGCCACACCTATGAAACATTTCTGGAGGCACCAGTGATGTGTGCGCTGTTACCCCCAGACTTAAGTGACACTGCACCTCTCCCCTTTCTCCTGGACGGACAGTTTTTCACTTTGCCTACCAGTGTGGCTGTTCAGAAAAAACTACAAACACATCTGAATTCTCTACAGACATGTCAAGTCATTTAATTTTAATGTGAAGGGAAGTCAAGGTGGCGTGTCTGCAGTACCTCGCTGTCTATGCTGTTGGTCTCAGCCTGTGGCTTCTTCACACTCTGCAGGGTCATATCCCTGTCCTGCTGCTTTTCCTCACACCTGGCATTTTTCACCTCCTCCGCTCTCTGCACCTCCTGCAGGTTGAAACAGAATCGCGTCATGAGCTGTTTGTACAATCAACAGAAAAAGTGTGTGGGGCTTCACACACTTCTTTGGTACATCATGCGGTGCAGAACATCAAACACCCTTTATTGTTTCTGTAGAATAACTCTGACAAAAAGCAGCAAAGCATAGGAATGAAATAAGTGACTGAAAACGGGTATGACATACATATGTGTAGTGCAGGTGTACTAAGTTTGATCATGTAATATTGTGTCTGCAGTTAATAAGTTCATGTCGCGTACAAAGGAGCAGAACAGCAGTTTGTGTTGGGAGCAACACAGAGGATCCAGAGACCCTTTTCTCACAGCTGGAAATTTAGTAGGAGACCATTGAGAAGACAGCTAACCCAAAACCGTCATCCAAATAGAACATCTGCACATGTTTATGACCCTTTATGGCCCTCTGGGAGACAACAGGACGTCACAGAAGAACCAATGATGGTACAGGTGGAACTTAAAAGCAGAGATTCACATCTTCCTGAAACTGGGTATGACTATGATCTGAACAATGTAAATAAAAAGTCCATTGAACCTGTGTCGGCACCGTGTCTGTGTGCGTTTCTGCCGCCTCGGCAGCCATCTTGCTCTGCTCCATGTGAGCCGCCTTTAGCTGCTGCAGAGCCGCCTCCAGCTCCACAGGGTCTGCACAGGCCCCCTCCGTCTGGGCACGATTCTGCACGCACACATACAGCAGCACAGACACACTTAAACTAACTTCCAGACTGAAAATGTTTGACAGTTTTCAAAGCCTAAGGAAAGGGTAAACACGGGCGCCAACGTCTCAGGGAAAGCACTGTCATGAAGGCCTCCATGTGTACAGCGTGTGAGTGCGACTTCACCTGCAGGACGATGAACGGGTTGTCTTTGCTGAAGGAGGGCGAGCGAGATGGGGTTTCTCTCTTCTTCTCACGGAGTGACGAGGCCTGCTGGTTTCTTCTTATCCTCTCTAGCTGCTCCTCCACGCTCATCCTCGTCCTGCCCACCTCTCTTTCCCCAAATCCTGTCTGATCCACTGCACTCCTGGGACGATCCTGCACAGGACAAGACCCAGTGTTACACTTTCATCTTGCCTTAAACTGTGATTCTGTGTAGTTTTTAACAACTATTTACATTTTCTTGAGGTGTATGGAGTCCTCTAGGACCTGTATTTTAATTTCTACATGAACATCAGTAGACACAAGATCAGTTATTTCAGCTGTGGAGATGATACATAACTGTGCATCTCACTGTCTTTGGGTATCAATGCAATAGGAGGCATCTCCAGCAACACAGAACAACTGATTTCATGCTGGTTTGCGAGATAAATTTAAAGCGTGGAAGCAAATGAAAAAAACAAAAAAGTGAAACTGAAAAGTTGTTGGTAGTCAAGAGCTACAAAATACTGAAGCTCAAGTACGAAGTGTGTGATGCCACATGCCACTCATTCTGCATGTAATTGTCTATATCTGTGCATCTCTAACTGGTTCATGTGACGCCGTTGGATTGAAGTAAATAAATAAGATATAAAAGCCAGCAGGAAAACAACAGGCTCTGGCATCTCATCATGGAAACGTGTGTGTAAAGTATGTGTGATGTGCTGTTTCATCAGTAAAACTAATAATAAAAAATCATTTTAACTCTGTCTCCTTCAAATATTTGCTCAAAACAAACTTTTTGCACCAGATCCTGCAAAAAGCAACTAATTCTTTGCTCCTCAGCACTACTGAGATGGAAGGACGACCTCAGCAGTGACCGACAGTCACATGACAAAAAATCAGCGACTGTTGAGCTGAACTGCAGGCTGTGTGTCCACAGAGCAGAGAGGAGACGGCAAGACAGACTCCAAGAAGAATGAAACATATTTGATCAATAAAATAAATGCAGCATGGCTCAAAAACAGTACACAGAGGAGCATGTTGTCGTCAGGTTGTTGGAAGATACATTTAGCGTGTTGTTGTGCAGAGTAGTGTTGAAAATGCTGAGTCTGTAAACATGTAAACAGGATTACTCTACGGCATTCCCAGTCATGGAAACACCTGTGGGGACCAGGAATAATCTTCTACATTTTGATTCCATGAAAAACAAAAAACCCCAACATTTTTGTCAAACAAATAATGAAAGAAATTCAACTTTCAGTTTATTCACCAGCCTCAGTGTGGGTCCACTGGCTGACGATCCAAACAACAAGGATCTCAAAATGGAAACACTGAATTTTCCCAGAGGATGGTTAATAATGAATTTTCTAAGCCTTCCTTTGGCATGAAAAAACGGTCAGTACGTTGTTGGGTTCATTCAACTCTTTTCACACACTGGAGCCGAACACTGTAGCAGCATGATTTCATTAAGCTGTGGGTGAGTGCTGGCAGTCAGCATGTACAGTACGGTTCCTACTGGCGCTGCAGAGCACTGTGGGCGAGAGCAGGCACCAAGGCCACCAGGGACAGCTGCATCACACCTGGTGTTTGGGTAAATGTGTCATGCTTTCATCTGTAGTTACAGTGTCTCTGTATTTTTAACCTCGATGTAGCAGAAATGAGTCCTGCAGTCATTCTTTGGTTCTGTAGCTCACATTAGAACTATCACAGTAACTCCAAAATAAACTTCATTAGGCTCTGTGGATAAGAAGGAGGCACTTTGCCACCAACTTTTATTCAGTGCCTTATCAAAATTCTCTCCTTCTTCTTAATTAGACAGGCCGACAAAATGATTCACATAAAATTAAACTTCTTTTAAGAATCTGAACTGAAAGTCTGCCAAAGCTAAAGCAGTGGAAAAGGAGCACAACTGTTCTACATCCTTCGACTACATCAGTAATTTAGTCATTTGGAGAGCTTTGGCAGTAAGGCTGGTACGAGGACTGCTTGGACGGGAAGAGTTAGAACCCTGGCATGAAGGACTACGACAGTAAGTCACTGGAAGGCTGTTAATGTGAAAGACCACCGCTAGAATAATACAAGCATTTACAACAAGCCAAGGGAATACCGAGGCGGGAGCTGAGTGAGACAGTGAGAGCAGCAGAGTGTACGAGGTAGCAGAGTATGAAAGGACGTTTGCACTGATGAAACTGATGCAGTGGAAACGTGCATGATACTGAACGCACCAAGACTGCATGTAAACAAGGACGTGTCAAGTTTCAGTAAGCAAGGAACAGGAAGAAGTAGAATAAAAGCATGTGAAGGCCAATTCATGCTTTCACATCCGCATGTCTGCAAGGAAACACGTCCGAGCTTTGTCTGTAAGCACTTGTTCATGTCCACGCTCCTGCAACAGTGATTCAATGTCTTTTCATTCACTTCGTAATTATCTCTTCTTGACAGGAGAGGATGCAGTTCTACTGTTTGTCCATTGATCTCACTGATGTCAGCCTCACCTACCTACCAGTCGCATCGTAGCTTAGCAACATTCCTGTTAATGCTAGGTCCACAGAACCTTTGAGGACAAGGAAGGCTTTTAATGTGAAATATTTGTGTCATGCAGACTCTTCATTTCTGCTTAACTTATGTCTGCTGAATATAAGTTTTACTCTCCCTCCTGCTCCAATTAGGGTTTTTATTGTTTCCGTTTCAGCCAATTTCTCATAGTTTCCTCCCTACATCTGAAGCCGGACGCTTTATGTTGCCAGTCAAATGTGTTAATTACTACATACAATAATATTCTCACACAACTACAAGTAACTTTAGTATTTTTAGGCTTACAGTATTAAGAAGCATACTTCTCAAAAATGTGATCATCTCTGTGGTAAATAAAGAGAAAATCCTTTAAATGTGGACCCTACATGGTTTTTTTTCCCCGTATGTTTGTTTTCCACGCCAGCAGCAGCAGCAGCAGCAAGATTAGCTCAGAGTGGAAACAATCACTACAACAACGGCGATTAAAGAGTGACAGATTACAAACACAGTGGTTCTTTTTTTATCCACAGACAAAAGGAAATAAGAAATAGTAGACACTGGGTTCGCTAAATAAACGCAGAACACAAGACAGAGATTTCAACAAGAACTTTCAGCTCAGAGATGTTCAGAAAGGCGGTGAAGCTGAAGGGAAAAGGAGAAAGTCTTTAGTGAGGCAACATCTGCAAAATGTAATATGTGCAAAAAACAGCAAGAACACTACCCGCCCTGAATCAGTATTAGATAAAGACGTGAAAAACCATCTTAGTGGAACAAATTTAATGTTTAAAATATTGTGTGCCCACACAGAAAGTCAACAACAGCTTTGCTTTAGGCTGTTTCTGCCACATTAACGGATTGGAATAGGTTCATTTCATCTCCATTTTTGGATCTCTCCTGATGCTGAAGGCAAGACTTACAGATTTGGACTCAGGTTTCTTGGTCTTCCTCAGGGTGACATAGGAGGCGATGGTGGAGGACTCGGGAGGGCTCATGGGAGATTTGGTCCTTGGAGGGACAATGCCCACGGGGTAGGGGGGCACTGTTGGAGAGATGGCAGGGAACACATTAGCAAACAAACACTGGAGCCAGGCTAATCGCTTGTGTTGTGGCACAGCATTTAACCACGCTCCAGTTCACAGACGATACAAGGACGATAAAGGGAACGCAAACCGATGCTGGAGACATTCAAGGACACGACTACTGTTTATAGGCAGCGACTCGCTTTGATTAGTGGTTCAATGCAACTAAAGCAGGTGGAATCCCTGTTAGCTGCACTGTGTTTTCCAGACAAAAACCTGAAACACTGACATAGTTTCTGCTCTTTGAGAACTTGAATGACAAGTTTTTCATATTTATACTGTGTTTAGCAGTGTCAGTCACACACTGTATAGAAAAGATGGACGTAGCGACTGTGGTGTAGGTTTGTGGACCACTGGCGTGAAGCCTTGGGATTGGCCTGTTGCCATTTTGCAGGAGGTGTCAGAAAAGTTACCACAGGGGATAACTGGCTTGTGGTGGCCAAGCGTTCATAGCGACGTCGCTTTTTGATTCTTAGATGTCGGCTCTTCCTATCATTGTGAAGCAGAATTCACCAAGTGTTGGATTGTTCACCCACTAATAGGGAACGTGAGCTGGGTTTAGACCGTCGTGAGACAGGTTAGTTTTACCCTACTGATGATGTGCTGTTGTTGTTAATCCTGCCCAGTACGAGAGGAACCTGGCTGGGAGAGGACGGACACATCGTCTGGAAGTCCAGTCCACAGAGTTAAAGAGCAGAAATCCAGCTCGCGTTACATTCAGCTCACCGGGTTTACAATACGAAAGAGACACTAACAAAGCAGACTGATGAGCTTTCAAAGTGGCTGTAATGGGAAAGCTTTGGATCTGACTGGTGAATCTGTAGGCGATGCACGCTGAGATATGATAGCGACAGAAGGTCACATGGTAGCTGCTCCAAAAAACATATCCGGCTATATTGTCTGTTTTCCTTTAAATGTGGCCATGATTTACTCAATGAACATAAAGCTGTACTGAAGGAGACTAGAAACTAGGGATTGAGACCACAAACTCATTAGGAAAGTGTTTATTGAGGTAACAGATGAAGGCAGAAGTTGGGTCATTTTCTTACAGACTTCCATATTATCTGATTTCTTTTTGCAGCCAGAGCAGTCTCCCTCTGCTGGCTGATAGAAAGACTGCAGGTTTAAGGGAATTTCAGTTAGTTTCACTTTGCAGAACCTTTTTTTTTTTTTTTAATAGAATCCATGCTCTAAATGCTAAATGTCAGGGGAATAAAAATGAAGCCCTGAGACATTTAGAATGCAGATGGAGGAACATGTTGGATAAATGGTTTTGAGAAGCCTGGACCTGTCTAAAAAGATTTCAGTATTTGTTTGATCTGGGTCTAATAATTAATCGCAGCCTCTCTGACTATGGATCAAGCAAACTATGCACTTGTGGTAATAAACGTTTGTGATACAAGGACTCCAGTGAAACATTTTGTTTTGGCTCATCAGTCTGGTTTTCTGAAAGATTTCCAAATCTACAATAATTTCCATCAACTGTTTGAACTGCTGCCTTCAGGCAAATGTTTCCGGAGCGTTCAAGGAAGAACCTCCAGACTGATCAAAAGCTTCATTCCACCAGCTGTCAGAACGCTGAACTGCTGATCCAGATATGCAAACACTTCTTAATTTAAATTGCTTTCAGTTATTGGATCCTGAAGAAACTCTCATCTTGCCTGTACTGCTGTGTATGTACAGCAACATGATAATAAATTGGATTTGATTTTGCAGGAGTAATCTTTCCCAACAATTGTCTCTCAGTCAACTCTGGAAAGTAGTAGCCACTGAGATAAATGTTGCAGTTATCTTGTTGTCTTTAAGGAAAATTTAAGACAAATAATTGGTTCAGACTAAAAATATCAGGCAAAAAGTAGCCTGAACCAAAAGGTGTAGAGTGTACGGAAGATGGCTGTCACGTATCCAGAGTACCGTCACGAAGGGCAGCTACTGACGCCACGATTTTCATGGCAAGAAGACGAGTAGCCACGTGTACTCGTATATAACTTTTGTGTCTTACGAGAGACAGGAGGCTAAAAGACAGACATGGTGCTGTCCTCGTGGTGTGATGGATGGACTGGCCACAACTGTTCTGAGCTATTCTGAACACAAGCATACTATGTAGCGGACACATGCTTGTATGTATTTGCATAAACTGAGTTTCCCTTCTTTTAAAATCAGTCTTTTTCATCCAGAAGTACCCACCTTAGCCCACTGTTGGAAGGATTTGTGAACTTCTGATCTGACAACCACGCCGATGGAAATCATTGTACAGGTTTATAGTCCACAATGTGTTCAGAAGTTTCTTTGTTTTTTTTATATTAAATTTCAGCTTCTTATATCCCAGCAGGGTGCACTGACAAACAGACATGTGGATGCTCATAGGTCCTGGTAAGGGAACCGTATTTGGGCAACAGTAAATATGACATGAAGGCTGAACCAGCCAACACAGACTATGTGTAAGATATTCATGTGATGTAAGTCTAGATGTACCTTTGGAGGCTGAAGTGTCCTTACTCTCAGAAGACGTCTCGGCCTTGTCCTTGTCCTCCCCGTTGGCCTCGTCCACTTCCTCCTTCACCGTCGTCAACTCGGGCTCGCTCTTATACAGCCGGTAGTCTGGAGCTTGCTGTGAGGACAAGGGGAAGGCAAGTCACGACTGTGGAAAAGCTTTTCCTCTCTACTGTGGCAAAAGTGCTGCTCAACTGAAATCAGTGGCTTCTCTCTCTGACACCGTCAGATCTGAACTCTACTATGTGAACTGCTTTTAGATGGCAAAGAAGTTTGACTTTGCACTGTACAAATAAAACTGAACTGAATGAACCCTAAACAAGCACCAAATACTAGTATTTAAAAAAAAAACAAAACAAGATTGAACAAGTTTGAACAAAGTTTAACACAATCCCCAAAATAAATTGAATCTTCTGCAGCCTGCATGTTGAAGAAAAAAACTGGGTTTATCAGTGGTTCTTTGTTTTCTTTCCTAGATCTATACAATAACTTACCAGCTTATGTGAGCATTTCTTAGCATAACCCTTAACGCTGATGATTTGGATCATTCCTTATGGCAGACGCTGGGTGAATACTTATGTATGTAACTGTCAGCTGTTCATGTGCTTTAGAAAAAACAAGTGTAGCCCCACACAACAAAGCATCACCCTCAAAACAATGAAACTCCAGAAACATATCCCTGATACAGACCAGGATCGGTCAGTGTGAGTGACGGGGCGACTGGATGGAGCATGGGCTGTAGGAGAGGAAAACAATGACTCTGAGATGAGCTAAGCGGAGCTGAGGAGGTGAAAATGATTAAAGTGAATGTGAAGATGGTTGTGTGTAGACAGAGTCCTGTAGAATGAGGAGCTCAGATGCAGTGGTTCAGGGGCTGATGGATGGCGGTCGGAGAGGGCAGATGTGGGGGGGAGGGGGCATGATGGCTTTCAGCAGTTCTTACACTGTGCGCTCCGTTCCTGGAGCCTGCCTTGCGGTCTTCAGGGCGGTGAGTGTGGGGGGGCAGTCGGCCGCCGGGGTGTGAGTGGTGGGGGGGCACGTGAGGGGGGCGCTCTGAGGAGTCGTAGTACTGGGGGAGGGGCGGGCGGGGGGGCACATTGTTGCCCTCCTTGGGAGGACTGAGTGGCAGCATCGTCACTGCCTGTTGACAGTGAACACAGCGAGTCTCATTCCAAGCAAACAGACGATATTTACTGTCATCAGCTACAAGCTTCACGTTGTCGACAGCCTCCTTGTTGGTGAAGTCCAGAACTTTGAACAGTGTGTTCAGACTGAACAAACTTCAGATACATTTCAATGCAAACGTGTATGTTTACCTGAGCTGGCAGGTAGACTGCAAACTGAAGTCAAGATGCTTCAATACGTGTTGTGAATGTTTCAGATTCTATTCACGTCTAGCGGTGTTTTGGCCACTTGGGGGTAGTACAGCTCCAAACACTGACATTCACTGATCAGCGACCATGTTTAAACCCCTGACAGATGAAGCTGAACAACGTGAGACGTGCTGGAACAAGCCAGATCCACGTAGACCCCTGTGGTACATCCCAGGACACCCCCAGAGATTCAGTGTCCATGCCCTCACAACGGGGACGGACATATCATCGTCAGGGACACCTCCCACCCCAGACAGTCTGTTTGCCCTCCTGCCCTCTGGGAGGTGCTACACAGATCTCCGTTCCAGGACCAACGTGCTCAGAAACACCTTCCTAACTCTGCACCGTCCCTGACTCTACTCTACTTTCAGATTTAGATCCTGTTTTTTACATGGTATCCACATCTGTATATTAGTATGTCCATACTGTTTACACGGTAACATACTGTACATACCATACTATGTAATGCACTGTACAGCACCTTCTGCACTTCTGTTTAGCTGCTGAACTGCATTTTGTTGTCTTATACTTGTATGTCTGTGCAATGACAGTAAATTTGAATCTAATCTAATGAAGGAGGTGGTTTTATTGTTGTAGCTGACACTTAACTCAGACACAGGGCAACATTATCCTCCATTTGGAATCACGGTTAGTGTCTTTTAGATTCACAGTAACATTGTTGCCTGGAAAATGTTTTAGTGACAGGATTTTGTCATTCAAAGATGGTGACATAAAGTTAATGTTCCCTGCAGCTTGCTTGTTTGTTTTTTTCAAACATGCTAAAACCGTTGTAGCAATACTTGGCCTCTAACACGTAAGACTTTGTCCTATAACTCTGGAAGTTAGGTCTATCCGCTGAAACCACTCCACGTCCTGAGAGAAATGTTCTTTGTGTTTATCATTAAATGCTATGTTCTACTGTTTATGGTATTTATCTGCTCTTTGGTGTCGAGCAGTGCTCAGTGGGATTATTAGAGATTTTCTTTTGTAAAGAGTTGCCTGCTGAGACTGTGAACCAAAATGATAAAGTTGTGGCCTGTGAGCCCAGTCAGTAAGGACAAAATTAGCTGCCTCTTCAGTCTGATCACACTGTGGGAGTCCGGTCCTACTAAGTACGCTTTTCAAAAATCAAAACAGAAAGCCATAAGTGGCCATAAACAGACACGCTAAAGTCTGGAGCGTTGGACAAATCATGAACACACCCACAAGGATTTTCAGTCCCTGCTCGCAACTGCATCACCAACTCCATGCAGTGTCATTTGGCAACAACAGGTCACTGGTAGTTACAAGTTTCAAGATTCAGCACACTGAATCTAATAGGACCCACTGGCTGCACCGTATGAAGAAAACTGATCCAAGCAGGTCTGATGTGCTTTGTAGAAAACACTGCAACAGTGTACATAAGGATACAGAACAAAAATATCCACCTGTGCAGAGAAAACGTGCAGGAAATCCTCCGTATGTTCCTGTTGAGTGATGTGACCATGTGCTTAATGCTAACTCTTCAGCAAACAAATTGTCAGCTCGCAAACAAGTGAATCTAAGATTTTGGTGGAGGCACATGTAATTAAATCCATGGTGATTTCACTAACCAAGTTACAAAATCATTCTGTCTTCAAAAAGGACTTGTGAGGCTGACTGAATCATCTGAGAGTGTGAGCGGTGTAATGTGGGCTGGATCGCTGCCTCACCTCATTTTTCTGTTGACTGGACAGCGGTTTGGAGCCCGGAAAATCTGCTGAACACAGGAAATGTGGAGAGAAACCAAATGAAACTGACATGTTGACATGAGAAAAAGACACCTGTAAAACCATCTGCTGTCATGTGCTCAGGCCATGTTTCTAAACGTGTGCCAGGTCACTTTTCAAGTGTTTCAGAATCACACAGAATATAACAGCCCACATCCTTTCCAGAATTTTTAATCCTCAGCTTTCCAACATCTCCTTGATGCACTGAAAACACCTTTGTAGAAATGATTCAGAGCTGAGCTGACTGCTTCACTGCAGTCAGACACATGGTGGTACTGTGGTGTCCGTAAACAGACACGGAGAGGTAAGGCACAGGACCAGCTCACTGTACATCACAACAGGAACTTGTGAAATGAATCTGAGAATGCGACTCATTGAAGTGTAGTTTGAGGCTCTCACTGCCGTCTGTGCTCCGCTGTGGTTTATTTTTGGACAGAGCTTCCATCACGTCCTGAATCCTCCACAGCTCCTTCTGGATCTGGATGTGCCGCTGACTTGGAGGCTCTGTCTGAGGACACACACACACACACACAAGCACATATGCTGTTAAAACCTAATCACCTTAAACTGTGTGTGTGTGTGTGTGTGTGTGTGTGTGTTACCTGTGGGCTGCCCAGGGCCTCCAGCTGCTCCAGTAGGTTGGTCTTGGCCAAAGTGACATCTGCCTCCAGCCGGTCGTACTCCCTCCAGGAGCGCTCTAGCTCCTGAAACCAGGACACCAGCCAACAACGGGGTCAATCTGTGAGTGTGTGTGTGTGTGTGTGTGTGCGTGTGTGTGTACCCAAACTTCTATCTTCTATCGTCTTTTCTACCTTCTATTTCTCAGTGTTTTACAGATGAAAGAAACATGTTGATGGAACATTCTGAGTCTTATTTCTGTTAACAACGGCCTCCCCTCTAAACGCTTTAACGCTCTGTTAAATGGTTTGCTGAATGTGTCACTGTAAAGAAACTGGAGGTTCCACAATCTCTTGCAGATAAACGAAGACAAAATTCCTTATTTTACTGGAGGCAAAAATGTGGCTGTTGTTTTTGATTCTGACCTTATTTTCTACCAGCCTAACCACTGGCCTAACCAAAGCTGATTTCATCATCCTAAAAATATACCTACAATAACAGTACATTCATTTTCTACTATATATAGTTTATATATACTTCAATTAATATTATGAACATGACAGCCTCTGGTTGTTCCAAGGATTACAACTGGGTTTTCTGCACAACGAATCTGTTTTTGAATAAAATGTGTCACACAAATAAAATTTTGCTTGCTTGCTATAAAAGTGACCAAACATACCAGCAGCTAAAAGTGATGATAACCTGGGTCGTGAGAACAATCAGTTTGGCATTTTACTGCAAAGAAGTGTTGGTGGTGACAGACCCAAAGGCTCACCGCCACCTTGTTGTCATGACGTTGCTATCACCTCAGGTTTTACTCAGAGAACATGTTCGTTCTCTGGAATCCTGCACAAAGCCAATTCAATAATATTTTCTTTTTTGCCAAACCTGTATCTTCTAACAAGCTCTTTGATATCAATGAACACCTTTTTTCACATGAGAAATGTGTGCAGAGCTGCGTCTGACTGGACACCAGCAATGTGAAAGATAAAATGCTTTCAATACAGCATGTAGTAAATGAAAGTAGAGTAGAGAGAAGCGTATATAGAGGTTTTCTCTGGAAACAAGCATTGGCAGAGCACCGGGGAACACTTCATCACAAAAGTGCTTCTGTGCTGCACACTGGTTTTGTTTCTGTGACTGTAAAATCTTGACAACATACAACTGACAGAAAAGTCACATATGTCTTCAAAGTGTATTCAAGGCAGGTCAAATTCTTGAATAAGTATGTCAAATGATAAGAACTACTTAAAAGATTTTTTTTAACATGACCAATTTTTTATGTTTGTTTATTGGGCTTCCACAGACATAAACTAGTGTGGAGGTGACTTCCTGCTCTGAGGTGAATACAGGCTCAGAAGCAGTTCCTTCACCACACATATGACCAAATCTCATACAAAGTGCCCCTGTGGTGGTTTTCTATCACTAGATGCAGCGGTGTGTGTTGGGCTGGGTGTGGGTGTGCTCACAGTGTTGACTCTGGACAGCTCTCTGCAGGTGCTGAGCAGGCCGTTCTGCAGCACGTCTCTCTGCTGGACCAGACTCTGTGTGGCTGCAGCATTCGAGCCGCTCTGTTCACTCAGCTCCTGACTGGCAGACAGCAGGGCTGTTTCCAGTGTGTGCTGCCACACAACACACACAAATACTTTTTTATTGTACAGCTGAGCCTCGGCAAAGACAACAACATGAACACACACAGGGACAGCTGTACCTTCTCTCTGTGTAGCTGCTTCAGTTTCTCCTCCTGCATCCTCACCGTCTTGTCCTGCTCACACAGTCTGCTTAGCTTGGTCTGACACACATGCACACACATGGACACACATTAACTAAACTTTCTCTGAAACTCGTTACACGTTTCACTGAGAGCTGTGCCGGTCTTACGTCTATGTCAGCCTCCTCTGTGCGCGGGACGACGGAGCCGTCTTTGTAGTCGTCTGGGCTGATCTGAAAAGACGAGGCAGAGTCAGAGTCGGCCAGCAGGGGGCGACAACAACACGTCTGTCAGGATGGAGGGCAGAGCCCCGGCCATGAAGAGTTGAGGCAAAAAATGACCTGAGAGCTAAACCTCATGACTCATCTTTTGTTCTTAATTTTTTCAAAGCATTTAGGTTGCCGTCCCTCACAGCTCACAAAAGGTTTGACTATTCTGCTATTTTCTTAAAATACCATAATTTATTCACACTTAACATATCAGCTGTGTTTGGTCAAGACCTCAGGTCATTTTTGCCCAACTGTTGGAGACTGTGGAAAGAAACTCTTCATAATATACTAAACCCTTTGCTGTTCCTTCCAGAGTAAGAGAGTGAGGGGATGAATGGATGAGTGCTCTGCACATATTCATTTATTCTGCTTAATTTCCCTTGAAGCTGTTTACCCAGGTGTCACCAGGGATGCTGTGGATGAAAATTAGTATGTAGAGGATGACAGAGGGAGGTGTAGCCTGAGAAGACAGGTGCATGCCAATGAAGATGACATTACGCCCCAAACTGTTCCCTCGTCCATTTTCAGAACTTAAGTACAACTGAAGTATTTTAACAGAAGCAAAGTTGGAAATCAAGCCAAAGTGAACATCGGGAGGAGGTCAGGGTGGATGGATGGGTGGACAAAACACTGACGTTTAAAGGTGTAGATTGCTGCTTGTTTGTACACTCAAACCAACAGTCCAGGTTTCTTTCAACCATGGGCATTTCTAACCTGTTTAGTTTGGTAACAACGATGACAAAGAGCTGCTGACTGTCTCTTGATTAAAACTGAAAGTCAACATATCTCTCACCCATAAGTGTTTGATATAATAATGACAATGAAGGGCTTCTATTTTAACCGAAATCTTGATGTCTTGCTCAATATTCCAAAGTTTATTTTGTGTCTTCGGCTAATCAAACATATTGGGAGAATATTTTTCTCATATCTGTTCTCTCATATGAGCTGCTTGCTAATTCAGGACATGTTACTGTGGGTGGTCTGTAAAATGCCAACACAAAGGCATTGGAAGATAAAACAAAAAAGGGCTCTGCCACAATTGTATTTGTCCATTAAATGCACCGCCACTCAAAAACGCTGACTTAAAACTCTCATTTGCAGCAGTGTTATATAACAGAACAGCCGTCTCACATAGGACAAACGTAAACTACACTGCAGCCACTAATGCACCCTTCTGCTTCATCCTTCTAAAACAAGGTAGGGGAGAAAAGAAAAGCAGCTCAGGAAATAAGTGATAGATGAGGGCAGACAGCAGAAAAATCTTAGCGGTCTGAAGAAAAGTGCTAAAATCCACTGACAATTCCCCCTTGACTGAATTTCACAATACACATTATTATGTTCTGTTCCAGGAAATACAGCAGAGAGAGGATGGTACAAACCCACACAGAGGGAATCCAGAAGCTGCATTAAAGTGGGACCTTGTACTTCTAAAAGCACTGTTTGAAGCCCTTCAACATACTGCTCGCATTTCTCGGAAGTCATGAATAAATGCATCGCAGGAGACCTATGACAAGAGTTCAAACCGCCTTAGATGCATATGTAGAAACGATAATATAGGCTGAATAAAGATGTGGTTGAATGCTTTATTTTATTTCACTGGAAACATTTTAAAGCTGAGTTTTTTGAATAAGTACAAGTGTTCAAGTACAGAGCTGGAGTCAGGAGGTGGTCAGTGTAGCTGAGTAGAAGACTGGAAGCAAAAGAGCAAGGCTGGCTCTGTCCAATGTTCAAAGACACACCCAACAACACTTTCAGAGACGATTAAGGACAATCTGTGGTTTCAAGGGAAGTCTGGATGTGTCAGAACTATTTCTTGAAAACTGTAGTTGATGCAGCGACTGCATTTTTCTGTTCCCATGTTTAAAATGACTGCACCTTTACAGAGACTTTAACTAAACCTTAGGCTCACTCAGTGTTTCTAGAAACCTGAGCTAGAATCGTGGAACAAAACATTGTTCATCATCATCATTCTTAAATTCAGTAGCTTTAGGGGCTACTTTTTTCCCAGCTTAGTCTGGCTGTTTCCTGCTGCTTCCAGTCTTCGTGCCATGCTGGGCTAACCATGTCCTTACTCCCGTAACTCTTGGAAAGTAATCAGAATCTAATTTTTCTAAACTGTTGAATTTCTCTTTCAAAAATGGAAGAAATCGTCATTTTTTAATGCAGAGCCACAGACACTCTGAAAACGACCCTTTTAGGACAAACGTGTTAGCATTTCCAAAGTGATATCCAACAAAGAACAGTGCTGTATGAAGACAGACGGTGAGGAAAGTCCCATGGCTGTGGGGCAGTGACCCATGAGCCATGCTCATTTCAGGTCACTTCAGTTTAAGAAATGAAAACAATGGAATGAGATGTGTCGAAACCAAAACAAGCTTCATATAAACTTCAGGTACTGCTGTGATGACGTCTGGGAAGGAGCGCTGGGAGCAACGACTGGCTGATGGACGGACTGACTGCATCCAAAGCGGTGAAACAAGAGGTTGATGGTGGAGGGGAAGACGTGGATACACAAGTACTGGGCTACCAGGGCAAAGGTCTGGCTTGACTCTGCTCCACTTCAGCTAACTTCAAATTAAAGAGTTCTGTTAGAAAGAACTGAGACGACTCTTTTGGGAAAACAAACCCCAACCAACTTGGAGTTTGTCTTACATTATCAATGGTGTAAGCATGTTTCTAAAGTCTAAATGTTTCAATTTGAGAAGGAACTCTTCAATTGAAGTACAGTTAGATGGGGGACTTGTTCACTGCTGCTGAGCAAAAACCACACAAATCTAACTTTGGTGCTCGTATGTTTTGAGTCATACGGGATGGTATCCATGCTGATAACTGATGAAAACCTTGGGAAACCTGAATGGATGAAGTGAAAATTCCATGACGAGGTTTCTACCCAGCAACAGTGACAACTCTGTCAAAAGACAAATGGACTGCCTTCACACTGACCCAAGCCAGAACCTGCCAAAGACCTTACTTGCTGGTAGAGTTGGGGCCTTGGTGCCGAGTTCTCGATCATAGTGTGAATCATGAAGATTAGAGGCTCATTCTCCTTCGTCTAGCGGAGCGCCAAGGAGAAAGAGGATACAATGGTGTAACAACACAACTGTCAGTGCTTGCTAGAGGGATCACACATGGTTTCATTACTGATATCCAAGAAAATGGCAATATTTTCACAAGTTTGAACCAAATGCTGATGATTCACCTTTTCCAAGATCCCAAATGTGTTCAGGATGATTCATCTTAAGTCTACATGGCTCAAGGTACTGCTGATTTACAATAGGACTCATATAAAGTTACATTTTCATTTAGTTAAGGCTTAAAATATATCATAATTTCCAAAACTTTCACCCAGAAAGTACAAAGACAAACACAAACTTCTGTGAACTGAGTTTCAAGCACGTACTAGACAAATATTAATAATAAGAAAAACCTAATTATAGGTTATTTTAATCTTGCAGGCTGCATTTTTTTAGTTCTGGCAATTGATTTGATTATAAATCAATCTTTTACACTCACTGAAGCAGCATAGCTCAGAATAGGTCCTATGGGGCGACAAAACCATGAGCAGACACACTTCTTTGGGTTCAGCTTTTGCTGCTGTATTTACTGTAGTTGTACCCACTTGTGGTTTTCCTGACATTTGAGATGTGCCGACTTAGATTTTCTCTTCAAATGGGATGTAACTGATCTGGCTACGTGTTTACTTGTTTACAACCTGTCGGCTCATTTTTCTGTTGGACATATTTTATTGTAATGTTGGCATGTCTGGATATCTGCTTTGGTGAATAGCATAACTGTTAGAACTGATGGTCAAAGCTGTGGCACTGAGACCTCTGAAAGGCAGCTGTCCACGCATAAAACTATACATTTAAAGAAAAAGCTGACTGAAAGTTAGCAGTGTGTTTATTTATTAAAATGAAAAAAACAGAATTTGGAATTTGTTATAAAGAGAGTAAGACTTGGAAAACAACTTTTTGCTGTCTTCAAACTGTCAGTGTGGATTGTTCCACTACCTCTGATGTATTGTGCATGAGCCCAGATAACTGAGGATTAAAACTTTGAGCTGAACCTCTTGAGGAGGAAAAACAAACAATCTTTTTCAATCAGCGTCTGAAGTGTGAGCCACTCCCTCCTACACAGCCTGTCTCATCCTGAAGCACACGACCTTTTCAGGGCCAAGCAGCCAATTCAATTATGCAGGAACTGTGGGAAGGCGAGTGCTAACCTACAGGCCAAAAATAAACAGCACATTTAGATGTCTGCCATGATCAGGGTATGAGCGCTGTGAACTGTCGACGAGTTACGCTTTTCTTGCAATTAGCCTAGCAGCCTGAGCATGCTACATGACGATGCTAATGAGATTCCAGTGGAGACATCCACGAACACTTCTGTCGAAATTAAATGACTTGTTTAACCTTTACCATACTGGAAAGTGAGTTCCTACTGTTATCTCTTTTTCAAACAAAACCTCAATGTAAATAGAATTGTGACATTTACATTTACTTCACAGCACTTTCCTCAGTTTGTTTCTTGAGCTGTTCTCGTCTGGAGAGTACAAGGCTGACATTTGCAAGCAATCAGAGAGGTTGAGTGCTGCTGCTGCACTGGTTTAAATACAAAAAAGGGCCCTGAGGTGTGTTTAATACAACTCAAAGCACGACGCAAAGGGAGTGACTGCTTCCTAAAGTACAACAGCCCTGCTGTAACAGCTAACTACCGATCTATTCATGAAGAAGCTATGAGACTGACCTGCCATCTTCCAGACAGACATTGACTTCCATCTATCAGTGCACTGTGGAAATCTAATTGCAGGTTTGTATCTTATTTGAAATGGATAATTCTGAGGTCAGAATTTGTGTTCCACCTGCAACCACATCCACTGTTCTGAATGTCAGTGTTTGTCTCACTGGAGACAGAGATTCTTTAGACGAGCAGCATTGTGAGCACTTTTAAAATCTGACTTCATAGCAACATAAAAATGATCCTGTTTAAAATGTATTTGAATAACAGATGGTCAGCAACAATGAGGTCAATTATCAGTACTGGAAATGTCAGTAAATGATAAGCCCTCAAAAGGTATGTTACTGTTACTAACAGGAAGCTAGTTGAGTAGCTTAAGCTAATGTAATTTAAAGTTTATGAGTAAACAGGAAAAGACATAAAGAAAAAAGCTGAACATATAATATAATATAATATAATATAATATAATATAATATAATATAAGAGGCTATAAACCGTCATCATCGAGTGTTCAGTTCACTGTTTAAAAAAACCCCATCAGTTTTAGAAAATGAAAACTAAAGTTAAAAAACTGATTGCTTAGTTGAGATGCTATATATATTTTGGAGCAGCAGGATGAGACGGAGAGAGATGAGCTCAGATGTCCTCACCTGGCTATCCAGGTAAATAAGGTTCCTCTGGAGGTGATGAGAGAGAACATCAGTCTGCAGTAGCCACAGAAGAAGGAAGAGAAGAATCAGGAAAAGTGAAGTTGTGTTGTTGAGGAAGGGAAGGAAAAAGGCAGCGATAAAGCAGGAAGGAGGAGATAATAAAAAGAGCAGGCAGAGAGAGTGAAGACAGGAAACAGTCTGAACCTACCGCGAACCTCTTCTAACTGTCACCATGCACTAGTAGCCATGATGACAACGAAGAAACAAATAATTCTAGGTTCACAATGGTTGATGGGTGAAAGTGCACGAGATCTTTTACACTTATTTGTTCTTTAAATATCGATTGTCCAGTATGAACCTGTCAGATGACGACACAGACGATGCACAAAGTGTGTTTCCAGCAAAGCGAGACTTTAGTTGTGACTGATGAGCATAAGAAGCAAAGGACAGTTCAGGAATGCAGGTGAATTTTGGAAAACTCTTGGTCCATGTTTACAGCTAAGAAGCTCCTACTGATACTGTGGATATGATGTAAAATGATAGAGGGATATTTTGTGTAGCTTCACAGGTATGACTAATGCAATGCAGCTGGACAAACATTTAAGCAACCGTCTTACATCATAATATGGTTTTAAATCTGCACGAAATTCTGTCCAGCTCCAAAAGCATGCCTCCTCATGCATATTGTTCAGCATATCCTTCAAAATGAATCATACAGTTTACCAACCTTCATACAATCTGTTAAAAAAAAAACAAAAAAAAAACACACAAACACGTGCTACACTGCAAGTCTGCATTGGAATATCAGGAGTATCAGGCCTGCTGCACACCTACTGCACATGCATTACAACATTACTTTCTGGGTCTCTTCCAATGAACAAATATATTAATTAAAATCCACTGGTTAGTAAAGAAATTAATGTAATAAAAACACAGCATACAAATCAGTATTCACAATGCATGGCGAATCGAAAACAGACAAGCGCCACGTTGTTTGATGCATCAGCTCCGATGCATCCATGCACTCTGAGCTCACAGAAACCCCAAGCTGCCATGCATGGACAGTAGTGCCCTCTTGCAAATGCAAGACACACACACACACACACACACACAGGGGAGCAACAGGAAGCATGTAAACTGATGCAACAATTCTCAGCAACCAAAATAAACACCCATCAGTTGTTAATCCCAGAACAGTTCTCCAAAGGGAAACTGCATTTGGTGTGTTTACACAGAAAAATATGAGGTTGAACAAAAACATCCTAAAATATAGCCTGCAAATGGTTTTATGTGATTCTGTATTTATAAGATGGCGCCTCAAGCTGGCTTCTAAATGTTTTGTAGGGTTGAGTTTACTGTCCTTTATTATGTTTTCTGTCTCAGAAATAATAAAATGTCTCTTAAAACACATCATACATTGATATAATGCTGCTCTCTGTGTCAGCTTAACTGCTACCTTTAGGATGAAGAAGACAGAAATCTCCATGTTCCAGATGATGTCAGCAAACCACTGTGTTAAGCACATTATATGACAGCTAGTCCCAGGAGGGCCTCTCACCGGCTTCCTACCAGGGACCATGGTCCATTGTGGTTGCTGCTGTAGGTTCCAGCCCATTTGATAAACTGCAGCTAGAAGCACTTTGCATTCAACTATAATGGCTTCTGTCAGATCTTTATTGTTTTCAGTGGATCTTTATGCATGTAGTTGAATAACAGAGACTCCTTCTAATGTGGAGGCACAGACATGCATGGAGATAAATGTCAGAATGCTCATATGTTCACAATGACAACGTAAACATATTTCACAGCTAATGTGTTCACTACCCAAGTTTAGCATGGTAGCATCAGCTAACAGTGAACACAAGCTGAGGCTGAGTGTTTTACACACTGAAATAAAATCTAACAGTTGAGATTGAAATGATATCAGCATTAATGGAAGTATTTCACTTTAAACCAAAATTAGACTTGCCTAGTTGTGAGTTTATTTTCTTTTGCTCACAGAATCTTTAGAACACACCAAATTCAATTTAACTTGGAGACAACCGTGCCACACCAGGACCCTCCACTTCCAGACTCACAAACACAGAATATGGGGTTTTGACCAGGTGGCTTGGAAAGCACAAACGCGTGCATGCACACCCACATGTATACACTCATTGCTGACCTTGGCGTTGGGGCCCTCCAAACCCAGGGTCATTAGCTGAGCTACTGTGTGCTCCCGCAGGCTGTTGAGCTCCGCCTGCTGCCGGCGGAGCTTGATCAGCAGCAGTGTCAGCTCCTCGGGCTGCACAGAGCAACACACAGAGGAGAAGAAGGAACCACTACAATGGATTTCTTTCTCTACAATGCTGGTTTGCTACAACAGAATGATAGTTACATAAAGACAGTTGTAATGGTAGATTTGGAGTGATGCTATATGCAGATGACAACCTTGTTTATGTTGAAAGGCTCTGCTTACAGCAGCCACGTCTTTCACCTTGTTTCCAGTCCAACAAAGTATTTACAGAAACCATGGCATGTAACGCTGGACAGCTCTGACAGCTATTCCAACAAATGATTACTGTGGAGTGTCCATGATTAAAAGGGAGCTTAAGACTAACTAAGGAAGCCTGAGTGAAAGGTTTCAGATAGATATTATAGAATAAGAGACATGTAAGACAATGTGAGCAATGCAAATCCTTGTTTGACACACTTTAAAGTGTCATTAATTGATTATTTTTGGTCTCAGGCAACAGAACAACTCAATCAAAGGTCAAAAAAATCAATTGCTATTGCTTTCACATAAAAGAATTTTCCTACAAATGGACAGAAGGAAATCAGTGAGATGCAATTTTTACACTGACATAAAATAAAGAATTAGGGCAGTAATATAGCTGTATGGACACGTACATGTATTTTCTTATCTTGATTTTATTTAACTCTGCTGCCTTGCTGAGCCAGTTATAGCACAGAATGGGCATAAGATCCAGGTCATTTCTCTGTCCTAACTGGAGGCCAGGAAGCTGCTGTTACACTCCAAATCCTAAAATGTTGCTCCATTTGACATGTTGTCAAGTCAACTAGAAAATGTGCTGCATCTGGACAAAATAAATATAATATGTCAATCAGAGGAAAGACGTTTCTGAAAACGTGGCTGCCTCTTCTTGACCTCATGAGTTAGCCACTGTCTGCAGCAGTTTGATTTATCACTCATTCATATATGGACTGAAACACCTGCAGACACTTACAAAACACACACACACACACACACACACACACACACACACACTCTTTTCATCATTTGTACTGCAGTGAAATAACACAGCCATTGTGCCAAAGCAGTAAACTACAAAAAGCCATGAAAAGTGACTGAACACATTCTTTTCATCAATCTGCCAGGCCACTCACAACCTGCTTCTCAGAGAAACATGGGTTCTCAATCTTGAGAGCAAAGACATTTGCACATGTGCTCCTACAGTGTGTGTACACGCAGTGTCATTAAGAGATAATGGCATCTTCAATAATTACAGTGGTCCCACTGGGAAGTGTGGAAAAAGCTGTAATAACAGGCAACTAACAACAAATTGCCACTGCGAAGGACATGTAAGCTGTGTGTGGGATTAAGGGATGGACAGCAGACATTTTTTTCTTCATGTCTTAGACTTTACTGAAAGCGGGGACACAGAATAGGCTGTGAGTGTGTCGAGGGAGAGGGCTTGCAGCATGACTCACCGTCTTGCCTTGCAGCGACTGTGGGGTGATGGTTTGAGGAGGGACACCGGCTGCGATGGATCGTCGATCAGGTGGGTAGCCATACTGTGGAGGAGGATAAGAATCTCAGGTTCACTCATTTTAGTTCAGGTGACCTTAATTACTTAAAGTTGTGTGTCCCCTCAGCGTCCTGGACAAACACCACACATTATATATGACACTGGATATAGATATGGTAATATGTTCACACAGTTTAAAAGTCAATGTTTAGGTTGATTTGGTGAAGTCTGCACTTAGACTATATTACCATTTTCATGGGCTGGAAGTTTCAACCATGTATTCATAAGCTATTTTAACCAGTTTCTTTCTTGAAGCTTACTATCTCAACCACCTTCTCATTACTTTTAGCTCTCTATTTCAAATCTTTATGCATAACGTTTAGTGAACTAGTTTAGCTATTAGCCTACTAATAACTATTTTAGCCAATTATCTGTACCTTTCAACCCTTTATTACTATCAGCGTTTTCTACTGTTTTATTCTAACTATCCATAGTTTGTTAACAGTGTCTAGATACCCGTTTTAACCCTTTAACCCTTTATCCATTGAGGGGAGCAGTAGATCAGTGGTTAAATAGAAACTACTTGTTGCCTTTACACAACAAACTGCAGTCTTATCATATCATAGCATGGTAGGAAGTTGGGCTCAGAGGGCAGGGCCAACCCCACAACGGCACCCCTGGAGCAGACAGGTTTGACACCTGACTTTCTGATCAGTAGTCCAAAGCCTTAACTGCCACCACTACCCCAACATCTGCTAAACACTGGACTGCACTTTCAGTTTCAGTTTCCACTCTGAGTCTGTATACAGGGCCAACAGTTTCAATGGGAGCGATTCACATGCACTAACATGGGCACACGGCAGGATCGGCTGGCAAAACATAAAGCAGAGAAGCTTAGACTGCAGCGCACACAGAGACAGAGTGTGACTCCTGTTAAGGACTCCACTACATCCTTACATACCAAATGGTCACTAGCTGCTACATGAATGCTACATTTATGTTCAAAATCTCACATATAAAACTTTTTAACTTTACACAACATCAGAGATTCAAACTCCAGTGGCACCCCACAACAAGAATGCAAACTTAACACACAACAAGAAATAATAATGCTGTGCGTGGAGCAAATGACTGGCAGCCCTGTCAGTAGCACATGATTTGTTGTTAATTATCTGATGCAAGCAGAAGCTGTAGGAATGCTCTTTTACGGAATTCATTCATTATTGTAACCAAGAGGAGCGTCTCTACCTTACAAGAGAAACACTAATAAAGAACAATAAGGAAATGTCTGTCATCACTTTGTCCTGCTAGATAATTGCCAACATCTGCTTTCTTTGTTAGCAAACAAAGAACAGTGACTTAATTAAAGTGAAGTAATTAAATTCAGCCGCTACAGTGGGTTAAAAAGAATCTCATTCACTGAGGCGGGACATTGTTCAACTAGGTAGACAGGAGTAAAACAAACATCATCTCTTCAAGTCATTTCATCTAAAATTTGACTTCCCATGCACAGCAAAGCTGGATGAAGGAAAAGGTTTCAGCTGCTGTGGTGTTAGTTGGTAGTTATCTGATTGATTGTATGTTTGTTTGGCAATATGGCGTGAAATGATAAATGGTGCTGCGTTTCTTCCACATCTTATGATTCAAACATAGCGCACATTTTAAACTTCATTTCCATTTAATGACTATAATTAAACTGAACTGGAGATGGAGGGTTTGAATCAGGGTCCACAGCTGGTTTTTTCGTTTGTTTGTTTGTTTGTTTTTTTGCCTTGGAACCCCCTTGTGGGTTAATGTGGCCCTGCACTGTGTCTGTCCAGTACTTTTACAGAAGTATGTTGGTAACATGACATTACTGCTACACTCGTTGTAGAAGTGATGGATTGTTATTGTTAAGATGATCTGTTGTGTGTCACCACCACACTTTTGTCAGAACTATACGCAACTTTAGGACTCAGTGATTCAAAAGCTCATTTCTGGCTTGTCCACGATGTAACAGTTTTATTTTACAGAGCAAACGCTTACTTCTCACTCTCTGCAGAGACAAAGAACATTCATCCCTCCAGCTGTGATAGATTCAACATTGTTAGTGCTCCTCCTCCTGAATACAAAGCAGAACCTGGGCTGCCTGTGGATTAAGGTGAGCTGTTTACTGTGTCTAGTGCCGGCACAAAGTTGATCTGAGGTCTCACAGTGGCTCACAGTGTGGGGACGGGGATTGGGCTCAGGCTTTAGGACCAGAGCCATCCAGTGAAGTGAGAATCGCCCACTGGCTGAAACTCAGCTCTGCATCCGGCCCATCGCTCCCTCAGTGGGAAATCTGAAGGAACATCTGTGGACTCTTTAGATCCAGAACTGTTGCCATATCTGACAAGGATGTCCTTAATTGATGTGGGATGGGATGCCAAGCCCATTAGCAAGTGTTTGAATAGGAGACAGCTGTGTTTTGTATAATTCTCCTCCTCTGGATGAAGAAATAAATGATAGAACTGTGAAGCGACAGTGTGATTTCCAGCTATTTCCTATCAGCATTTCAGCTCTGATTGTCAGAACGACTTGATATTTAAAGAAACCCTTCATCATCTCAGAAAGCATGATTGCTTTCCTCTCAAACCCTGAATCAGACTTCATTATTATGATGTTATAAGAAACGCTGTCACTGCATCCAGCTCTTTCTGTTTGCGGAAATACAGCGCAAAAGCATGTAAGTGCTCCATAAACCCTACATCTTATCTAAACATTTGCTCAATCAGTGATCACCAGTCTGTCGAGTGACATTGACTGGTGTCTGAAAGTTTTTAGCTTGAAAGCCATTTTGTTCATTTTTACCAGACAGAATTCAGTCTCCTGGGTTTTAAGGTGCTGTAGCTGAAAGTTGTGTGACGTACTTCTGGATCATAGTGTTCATGGATTTACAGTCTGTAATTTTGTTCTTTTGCTCGTCATGAAGTTTTCCTGTTCAGGACTCTGAGCCTATCTGTGTTGGTGGTGCACGGAAAGAAGCTGTCACATGCTGTACAGATTGTAAAGCCCCCTTGAGACTAATTTGTGATTTTTTTATACTCAAATAGAATAAAAATAAAATCGACTCAGTTCCTGTATCAGTCTAAAAGTGCGATAAGAGAGCAACACAACATTTCTGACAGCAAGACTTGCTGTGATGTTAACATTTAACTTAACGCTCACACCAAGACGTGGATATTTGCAGCTCACTCATTAGTGGCTGAGGTTTATATTTAGACTAAGTTAGCAAATGACACTTTGTTTTGCTAAAAAAAAAAAAAAAAAAGAAGATAACTTTAGGTGAGAGTTTGAACTGTAACATCATGACATTTACCTTGGCGAGGTGCGTCCTGTGCCGGCGGTCCAGCGTCGAGTCCCCCGCGAAGACTGGTGAGGACACCTCGGAGTGGGAGCTGCTGGGGTTGGGAGTGGGCTGCTGGCGGGGAGGGGAGAAGGTGCTGTAGAGAGCCAGGGAGTTGTGGGATGGTGAGGTGGGGATGGAGTGCGCCACAGCATGTTCAGAGATGTTGCCCATGGTCTTTGTGCTGGGCAGGGTGCCGTAATGACCCACAGCTGAAAGCACAACAAGAACAGCAAAAAAGAGAAACGGAGTGGAGTCAGAAGCTCTGCTAGCCTAAAACCCTCTCTGTAATGTACATGAAATTGGAGTTTTGTTATAAAGCAGAAAGGTAGGCTGTTTGAAAAGACAAGGGATTTTAAATAAATGATGTTATTGTGGAACACAAGCCTAAAAGCATGCCCAATGACACTTCCCAGGCTGACATTTTATGTACTCTAGTAACACAAGTAATGATGGAGGCAATCATCCCAAAATCAATACATTCTCCACAAACAAGACAAAGACACTTGAAAGGTGGCTGGTGAAAGGAGCTGCAGCTCCATCCAGACCACGGTGTCTGAGACACAACATTTGCCTCTGGGAACATCTCACAGGGGGAGCAATTTTATCGCACAATATGCTTTTACACGATATCTATGGTATGTTTATTATAATTGGTTATTAAATGCACTCAGCATGATGGGAGAGAAAAAACCCGTCACTGTGAATCAATGAACTTCGACATGTTAAAGACAGACACACAGTAAGTGTGTGCTGCCACCATACAGGACGGATGTTTCATGTACTCCGTTCACTACACAGACAAAATCGACCTCGAGTTAATTTCACAGTCCTGATTCCAATTCCTTTATGTAGAACTTGAACGAATGTCTTCCACAATCTCTGCTGCTTTTGTTTGTAATGTGACAGGAAAAGTTCCACTGCTGTCATCGTGGTCAACGTGCTGCTTTGTGAACTGGGGTTGTGCGAAGACTCATTATTACATTAGGATTCATTAGCGTAGCTCTTCACGGCCACCAACAAAGATCAGCTGTTGGTCTGTTTTGAGCTCTAAAAAATCCCAACAGTTTGACTCGGAGTCACAGAAAACAGCATTTCTCAGCTTGAAATCTGTTTATATGTCTAAAGATGTATACAGATAATACCTTCGACAACATTAACAGTATTAGACTTTGCTTCAAGATTGAGCAAATATATGCAACAACCACCTCGGGTCATTTTGTGCTTTAGAGATTTATTAACAGACTAATTTGTAATTAGACGTAATTGTTACATAAACAACCTGCGGACCTACACATTTAAACAGCTTTCTAGATTTTGGGAAAGTGTTACAGAGCTTAAACTTACATGGTTTAAAAAAACACAACACAAAGGCGAAGAACTGACCTTGATTACATTTGGCGCTGTCCTGTTATTGTTCTACAGGCATTTCTTTTAGAACAGTGGTCTATCAGGAAAAGGCTTTCTGGACCATGGAGAATTATTTGATTGTTGCTGACTGGAACAAATTGTCAGAAGGCTGTCTCTCAGGCCCATTTTCTGTCAGGAATTCAGGCAACCTGATCTGCTACCAAACTGCTTTGTTGCTACCAAAACAGCAAAGCCTCATATCTAGTCCTAACTAGTAAACATGATTGCAAAAAAAGGGATTCTTGCTAGAGCATAAAATCAAGACAAGAATGTTCAAAATGTCAGAAGGTCAACAGGCTAGATAGAGAGCTCACTAATCTGAGAGAAGATGTCCTCCTGCCCAGTCACGACTTTCACTGTATTCCCTTCTGTGTGTGTGCCTACCTGTTGGCTGAGCCAGACTTTGCCTGGAGAAGGCCTGCCTCTGCTGCCACTCGTACAGCTGCCACATGGTGTCGTCCCTCATCGACCTCCGCTTCTCTGCCGTGCTGACAGTGGTGTTGGAGGCTGGACACAAAGCCCGGTCGTACACGGAACCCGCCACGCTGCAGATGCTCTCGGGCCTCATCATGCTGTTGCGAGGCAGCGTGCGATAGCCCTCAGGGTAGCGGGGCACGATCTGGGCACGGTGGCTGGGCATGTTCCTGGGTAAGGTCTGGTAGGATGTAACGCTGGAGGAGACAACAGACTGATGAGAAATGAGGATTTTCTAATTTGGATTTGCCGTTTTAGTTTCTCACCATTACAGGGAGGTCAGAGGTTATGCTGCGCTAATTTCTGTATTGAGCTCCTGTTAACTAACGACTGTTTCAGATAGCTGAATGTCAGAGTGCATTCAGAACTGGAGTATATTGTAAATAAGAATAGTTACCTTTTGGCATATGTCTCTAAAATGTTTGATGTTATTGCCTCTTTTGAAGCTATGTCCACACCAATACATTTGCATTTTGAAACGCAGACCCTTTGCGATGTCTGTGCCTGGAGTCCCTACAACCCTGATGTTATAAGACCTCTAGAAACCAGGAAATGCATGAAGTGACTCCGAACTACATGTGGTTTCCTGATTAGTCCTCCTGTGTGGTTGTTTTCCAGGAGAAAAACAAAGGCATCCGCCTTGACTACCAGTGGTTAAGTCAATACGGATAATGAATTAAAGGCTTAGTTTGACCTTGTTGTCTCTGCAAGCAGCTGTTGTTCAGTTCAGTAAATCTCTCATATTAATTTTGGCCATTGCTGTTCTTTCTGCATAGTAATTTAATTAAGGGAAAAAACAGTATTCTCAATGGACACTCGCCATCTTCGCCGAGTTCAAGTAAGCAGTCTGAAATGAAATTAAAGTGGTAATTCTAAATTTGTCTAAACATAACGACATAAAAGGGCAAATGGAGACAGAGCCTGCTGTCCTTGTTCCGCGCATTATAAAGTTATGCTACAGCTACTGTGAGGGTGTGTGTGTGTCAAAATGAGCTAAATAGGTGAACGTCTTTGTCCTGACAAACTGATATTTGGTCTCAATGCTGGTCCCAGATGAAACTCCATGTGATCAACTCTGCAGCAGCTCAGCAGAGAAACACTTGAGGCGGCGTTTCTTACTACAAAGAACTGAAAAGTTGCTCTCAGTTTGTAGTGGCTAAACAGACGGGGACTAAAGAGGAAAAACATTCCTCAATGAATCTTCTGAAAGCAGTTTCCCATTATGACCTTCTACTAGTCTCACTTTTGAACTAATTCATTCGCAAGGTGTTCCGGGTGGCCCTTGCTGCCACGCACAGTGTTGAATAATCAGTCTAAATTACTACCTACTCCAAGGTTTCATTAGGATAATGCAATGCTCTTACAATCAGGAAGGGAATTATGCAAGAGAGAGAGAAGAACAAAATAACATCGTACTAAATCACACATGAGGCACAAATGCAGAGGTAGGAGCCATTAACATTCACGGTCAGGTTAGAAAGTAGTGTAACAAATTAGCAAAGGACAGACGAGCACGGTTTTGTGTTACATGGGAAGGCAGCGGCAAGAATCAGCTGAACTTTACGGAACCTAATCAATATGCAAATAACTGAATAAATGAATGAATGAGTCACTCTTTAAACCCGTCAGTGACTCATGAATCTTGTAATGCAGACCTCTCACTGTGTTCTCTCTGTACTGTCGGCAGCAGGAGACTCAACATGAAACATTGTGTTTTACGCTAAAAAAGACATTTGCTTTCTTTACACGAGTCAAGAGATAAAGGAAACAATAGCCGGTATCAAAGACGTGATATGGGAATTGTCTGACATTTAAGCCTTCCATTGTTACGTGTGGTTCAAAATAAGACCAGTTAAGGTGAGCTTTAAATGCACTGAAGATAAGAAACAAAAGATGCTCCAGAGGGGAGCACTACAAAGAAGATCTGACAAAACCTAAAACCCCAGTCAGAGATGACGGGCATGACGACAGCTATTTGTAACGTTACATCTGCACATTAAAACTCTTCAACTCCAAACGTAACACTAAGCACTTAGGTCAACCAGTGTTCAATAATGAAGGATTCCTGAAAATCACTGAGAAATCCATCCATCATCTATACACCGCTTAATCCTCATGAGGGTCATGGGGGGCTGGAGTCTATCCCAGCTGACTCAGGGTGAAGGCAGGTTCACCTGGACAGGTCACCAGTCTATCACAGGGCTACACTTAGAGACAGACAACCAAGCACACTCACATTCACACCTACGGACAATTTACAATCACCAATTAACCTCAGCATGTTTCTGGACTGTGGGAGGAAGCCGGAGAACCCGGAGAGAACCCACGCTGCACGGGGAGAACATGGAGACTCCACGCAGGAGGATCTCGGGTGTCCTTACCGGGACGCGAACCGGCGACTTTCTAGCTGCGAGGCAACGGTGCTAACCACCGAGCCTCTTTGCAGCCCCACTTAGAAATCACTAGACTAATTAATTTTCTAATCTGTGCTCTATTAGCTGCAATACCAGCAGTGTAAAACAGACTAAGCAGAAACGCCGACTGAATGCATGCAGCTTCCCATCCCGCACTGCAGCACATACAGCTGGCGTTGTAGCTGTAACTGCATGGCCTTGTTCGAAAACTCTGACTTTAGGCTCAACATACCTCACTAACCCATTCATCTTGCTTCGTAGTACACCCCTTCAGGGTTCTGGCAGGTAAAGTCCAACAAAAAACGTTTCAATAGAAGTGAAAAGAACAAATGGACTCGAAGGGGAAAACCAAGAAGAATGCAGAGACACAACGAGGGAGTGAAGCGGGAACACAAGATAAACAGGCAAACTGTCAGCGGACGGAGCGAGAGACCAGCCTATAAATACACACAGGAGCTGACTGGGTGTCAACACACCGGTGGAAACAATTAGAGCATCCCAGAGGTGGGAAACAAGACAACGTCAAGAAGCAACATCAACCAAGACACACAAGAAGAGTCTCCTTCAAAACAAAATGGGATGGAGCTCAAATAAAACCCCAGAACACAACACACCCACTTAGTTGTAGATTTAAATGTGGTTACCTTGAGCTAATGGAGCAAGGAATACTACATAAGAACACTAAAAACACCCAAGGCATCCACAAATCCTGCATAAACACCTGCACTGACTGTCCTCTGGCAGCCAGTGAATCAATTCCGTTTAATCAGGGTGTACTGAATAGGAACCAGCTTAATTATCAGTATGTGTGTGCCTTGACATGTATGGCGTGCTTGACTGGGTTTAATTATCATACTGCTTTTATTAGCAGAACTCTGCTTCACTTTCACTTTGACCTAGGACCATGAAATAATGAGAGGCTCGTTATCATTACAGCCATTAGCGGCTAATCACAAAATGGAACGCTTCATTTTCTAGGACTGCGGCTTTGACCTTATGAGTCCACGGAGATATATTATGGTCGCTGTTACTTAGACTCCCTATGAGCATTTGTCACCTAGATGGGTAGAACGTCACGGTCTTTGTTCACCTCAAACTTTTGCATTCAGCAGAAAGAGGAAGCTGATACACCGATCTACAGCATGCGAGCACTAATCAGGGAACGATGTTCTACACATGATCAAACGTAGATACTTTGCACCATTCAGGCAGCGGCCCAGTCTGCAAAACATGGCGTTCCCGTACAACTAAACTGTGGTGTCAGCTGAGACTTTAGGTACTTGTGTTTTCTGCTATAATACACTGGTTTGTGGTGTATCACAAATATGGTGCTTTCATTTTGCTGATTTTCAGCAAACCAATCATACAATAGATGGAGTCTGAAGTCCCTGGAAAAGGGACAGGAAAGGGTTGTATTTTAAACCAAATAGTGGTATTTTCCTAAACCTAGCCATCTAGTTTTGATGCCTAAACTTAGCCAAACCGCGAATGAAAAATGAACCTAAACGAGTGAAAATAAAACTTAAATCAAACTTGTGATACACTCTCACTGTGTGGAACATTGTGTTGAATTTAGCCACTAGCGGTTGCTAGGAGCTGTTCATCTTCCTAAACAAACAAACAAACAAACAAACAAACAAACAAACAAGCACTCACGTTCACCTCATGCTGATTGGCCAGATGTGTGGCGGTGAGACAGTACAGCAGGGTTTCAAAGAGGTCTCTCAAACTCTTTTTCATTCTTCCCTACACTACTTCTGTCACAAACAAGACCAACACCAGGACTGCCTTTCAAGTGCGCTCCATTATCTCTCAGGATGGTTCATTGCACTAGTCCTTTAAATATGGTAGGCCCTTCGCCCTGCTCAGCTCAGAACAGCTATACACACTTTGGCTTTCAGAAGTGACTTGACAGCACTTCATACAAACTACTTTGCATGCCTTTAATCCTGCATGGAGAACCCTGATTACTTCCTCACGCTGGCAGCAGTAACCGTCAGTGAGCGCTGCACCACCGCTTAGATATGGATGGTGAATTGCAGGTCTGGAACCCGGCTGATCATGTCTCTAAAAGATAGCACTGATTCTGTCTGAACGGGCTTTCATGTGGAGTGGGACGCTCCACCATCGCAGACTAGATAAACTGGAGGCAAACACTAACGACTAAATTCACAATGTCCTTAAAGTTCGTCTTCTATGTTTGATTTTTGGGCAACAACGCTTCCTGAATAAATTCTCCTCATATGTCAGACAGCTCTATGACTGTAGTTGACAGAAGATATCTATAAGGTAATGTGTCAAATAAACTTCAGTGGCTGCTCAAAGATCTGGCCATAAGGGTCCACTGAATCATTTAGTTATGATTGTTTCAACAACATGTGACAGAATACCAGGATCAATAATCATATCGTATCCTATCCCAAGTACAACATATCTTATCATCTTTCGGCTGAGGCCAACCTGATGCTCGTGACTACAGTAGAGGTTAATGACTGCATACATGAACCACGTCAGATGTGGGACCAGCGGCCACGGGGGGAACACTGCTCCTGTTCAGGCCTTTGAAGGCGACACGCACACTGAAAAATACATCACTTCTGTGCTCCGGGGCAGTTTATTGATTTCCTTTTTGCTTTTCAAGTCTCTCTTTTTTTTGCTTACATACACAAAACAAGAATTTCTTGCTGATACCAAAACAATGAGAAAGATTCTGAATGCTCTCCAAGTTTACGGGAACATTTGGCAGAAAGAACATCAGAGTTTGCAAGAATATGAATTAATTTTGATGAGTTGTTAATGACTCATTGAGATTTAAAAGCGCCTCCACAGAAACGACACAGATTGTTGTTCTTCTGCTTTCTGTCAGTGTGTGGATGTGATAAAAACACGTTAGAATATAAAATCTACTGTTCAGTGGCTGATTCCAAAAGGTGCACGAACACAAGATGTGAAATTGTGTTAAAAACCCATATGTCGTCTCCAACTGAAACTAAACAGGGACGCTGCAATGATACAGTTACGTGCCTTTAGAAAACAGAGCCCCTTACTTTAACATGTAAATCACACTTCATACTGGGATCTGACAACAATGGACAACTGACATTTCTCACATAATCTCAAACCTCCTTGTTAATGGAAGCCCACAACTCGCTTTGTCTTTCCCAGTTGATCGTCATTTTAACAGACATACACAGCACGCTATATTGCATTTCACTTTTTCAACAGAAATACTGTTTTCATTCACTAACTATGTCCAACTTCTTCCATTTTCTGGACTGCTGTTAAACCACCAACAAAACTCATGCAGAGCTGTGACACAAGTGGAAATATTTATTGAATAAAGCCACAAAGAAAAACATCTTCTAATACCGTGCAGATTGTCTGGTATCAGTCTGCTTATATCACAGCCACTTGCTGTCAACAGTCGACTGTCAGTGTGAGGGAGACAGCGTATGGATGGTGCTGTTACATGACGTTATTCAAACTGCGTTCAGCTGAGATGAGCTTACGTACTGTTCTCTCTCCTCTCTCACTTTTCTACATCTCTTTATTTTGTCTGCGGTTCCTCCAACCTCTTCTCGTCTTTCTCCTGCAGCTGTGCCTCACACCCGAACTACCAGCTCCTGTTTTAAGTTTATTCAAGACTTCCAGATGTTCTATACGAGACACCCTTTAAAAATCACATTTGCATCACTGGCGTTTATTTAAAAATGCACTGTAATGTTGGAAATGTGAATCTTATTGTACAATCTTTTAGAATATTAAAGCTATAATCTCAGACATGGGCACCATTGCTGCTTCATCAGTCTGCTAAAGTGACCACAGACACACCGCTATGACTGGGAGAGTAACAGTACACTCTGTATTTGTCATTCAAGATTTAATATAAAACCAAGTGATGTGTAATAATGCACTAAATCTAAACCACTAGCAGCTGATCAAACAATCTAAATAACTATTGATTTATGATTTCCCTGATCACTGAACATTCTGTCCACGTGTGATCATCTAACGACTTATACAGCTGAGATGGAGCTCAGGACTGAACCTGAGGACGACCGCGGTGTAACAGGTGGTTTGACTGTAGATTATAAACTGTGAGTCTGTTTATGACAGCTCACCTGTCAGAGGTGAAGAAAAGTACACAGTGTGACCTGCCGCCAGATCCTTGTCATGTCACTGATAACTCATCACTACACGTAATTAATGAGGTGACAGGTAATGCTGTTTAGCTGTTCCAGGTGTGTAAATACTGGAGACCTGAGAGACGCTCATCTGGATCCTGCTGCTGTGTGATGCTGCAGACATTTAATAAACTCAGAGGAAAGACTCCTACAAACAGCTGGTAGCAAAACAAGATAGACTTCAGCTTCTGTGAACATTTTGCCAAAACTTGGATTACTTATTCATTATTGGTGAGTCTCATTAATCTGAGCTGTTGGTCAGATTTGTGTCCAAGACTGTGAGCCGACACATTGGGGTGCACGTCTGAACGGGACTTTACCTGCACATGAGGAAACTTTACATGATAAAGGTGTGCTATTGGGAGAATCTACCCCTCAAGTTGTGGTCAGAGAGTGGTTTAATCTTTTGGGATTCTTGAGGTTTACAGTGTCCTCACATAGATCGACACGGGAAATGAAACTAAGACACATGTGGGAGCATATCTGTAAGGACAGATGCATGTATGCTGTTATCTCTTCTACCAGCACTGTCCCATGCCCTCGTCTTCTCACTTTAAATCAGAGAACAGTGCTAACAACAATAACAATCAGCGCTACAACAAAGTTTCTCCATTTCCCTCCTTTGTGCCAAGCGCTGATAAAGATGACAAATGTGACTCGGCAGCACTCAGCTTGCTCTGCTCTCATTACAGTCTCATTTCCATGACTTATTCATGGCAGCAGAAGGAGAGGTGAAGTGCTGAGAGCAAACGGAGCGTCAGCGCTCTGCATTTCTGTTCCGCTGCGTTCCTCAGCTCAGCCGGCTAAACGGCAGCTGAACGGCAGTGTTCCCAACTGAAATACACATCTGTGGTGACACAAAGAGCTTTTAGCTCCCTCAGGGCCGCAGGGTTAGAGCGCTGACAAGGCCAGATACACAGGGAACGAGGGGGCGAACAGGAAAGATGGAATAACAAAGCAGGAAATGAAAAAAAAATGTTTTAAATCTAGTGGAGGAACAGATCTGCCAGGATGAGAGGTCATCCTAGATTGTAGTGCAGAAGCCCCACTACGTAACGGCAAACTTCTGTGTGATGTCTCTAATGAGCCATTTAAAGATATTAATGTTTTTATGAACAATGTACATATTGAGAAGTCATGGTTCTCACAGAGTCCTGTTAAACTGTCTCAGCTGTCTTTGTAAACTGAAGCAAACATCAACTGGCCCTACGCATCACATATGAGGCTCATGCATTGCAGCAATTCATTCACCTACGTAAACGCTACAGTATACTGTTGATCACAGGCCTACACATTATGCTGGTGTAGGAATGTCTCCACTTACAGTCCTTTTATATTATCTTTGTTTCACAGTAAGTTGAACATTTTAACAATAATTATTAAATAACGTATAAACACCACACAGTTCAGTGTAAGGATGAGAAAAGTTAGACGGATGCAATTTTGAATTAAAACCTAATGTGAAAAATACTCATTTAAAAGAATATCATCTCTTTCAGAGTCAGTGACCTTATTACAAGAACCATCTACATTCATGGTGTCACTGCTAATGCACCAGCCTGCCTTAAAGGCCCAATTCATAATTTACTTTAGTAGTGTAAGGCTGAGTTAGATTTGCATCTATAATCAATGTGTTGTAATTAGAGCAAGGCTAAGAGCAAGAGCTGCTCTCTCTGGTTTAAAGTGTGCGTTGGACTGGTAGAAAGGTCTGCACTACACACAACTGGCCCCATTTTGACATCTTGAGACTTTAGGTGATTCCAAAAAGTCCAATAATTAAAGCACACATGCACAAACTCAGTCACCCTCACCTCCTCGTGTCGTCGTCCAGCCCTCTCGTCCTGTGAGTGCGGACCCAGTGCTCCAGCTGCTGCATGGAGTTGGTCCTGGACAGGCCTGTCCCTGGCTCCTGGACTGGAGCTGGAGACTTGACAGGACCTCTGGCCATGCTGCTGTCCACTTCTGCCGGGCTGCAGTCCACACGCTGTTCTCCTGGCCCGGACCCGGAGCCGTTGACCTGCACAGGTTTCTGGGCGGCGAGGTTGGCCTGGCTCTGGCGGGATGCAGACACTGCAGCTGCGATGGCAGCAGCCTGAGCTGGCTGCAGCTTGATGCTGCTGATTTTAGTCAGAGATCTCTCTGCGCTCGGGTCTCTCTGGAAGCCATATTTATCCCCATCACGAAGCGTAGCATACTTTTCTGCATCTCTCAGAGTAGCGTATTTATTCCCCTCTCGTAGCGTACAGTATTTCTTCACCTCCTTCAGAGTGCCATATTTGTCCACGACATGTATGGTGCCATACTTATTTTCCCCCTCCCTCATCGTGCCGTACCTTTCTGTCTCCCGTAGTGATAACTGTCTCTTCACTTCCTTCTGTGGAACATATTTCGGTTCTTCTTTCTGGAGTGTGTGCCGGTCACCCACTTTCTGCAGTGCATACTTTTCTCCGTCCTTCGTGAGCAGGTACTTCTCTCCATCTTTAGTTGGAGCATATTTCTCCTCCGTCGGCGTCACTGTGTGTTTATCGTCCACTTTCTGAACAGCATATTTCTCCAGATCCCTGTGAATAGCGTACACCTCTCCATCTTTCTGCAGTGAGTATTTGTCCCCGTCCTTTCGTAGCAGGTACTTCTCTCCATCCTTGTGGAGGAGATACTTCTCTCCATCCTTCTGGAGCATGTAGCTCACTCCATCTTTCTTCAGCGAGTACCTCTCTCCGTCCCTCTGTAAGGTGTAGTATTCCCGCTCCCTCTGGCCGTTGTGTTTCTCTACATCTTTTTGCCGTTTGTTGTCGGCTCGTGATAGGGAGTGTTGCCGCACAGGTTCTCGATTGCGTTCGTTGTTCTGGATCTCGGGCCGCGTCAGGACTCTGTGGTTCAGTAAGTTGTTCAACTCTTGAGGTGTCCGCTGGTCCACTTTCAATTTGTCCAATCTGTGATGGAAGAAAGAGTTAGAATCCAAAAGACAGAGGTGGAAATAACTAAGAATAAAGGAGCTTCCTGAGATTTCAAAGATAACTTTTGTGTCAAAAGTCATGTGTTTGTGTGACAGCCTTCCCATTTCTGTCACTCCTTTGTGGCCTTTCACTTCTTAGGAGCTTCTTATCTCTGTCAAAAACCCCTGACAGTTGGAGTGGAAGGAATGTGGGCTCACTGGATACTGATGCGTTTACGATAGTGAAGAAGGCTGAAGACGTGTGAATATTTTCTTCATTGTGAGTGTGATGCATCTTTAATGAAACACTGAAACATACGTAATATTAAACGACTTTGAACTGTTGAGATCTGGGACCTTATTGACACGTCAGTCTGTTTCTTGTTGTCAGACCCACAACAGTTTGGAGTTTGGAGAATAAATCCTTGGTGGTCACAGATAAGATAGAAAGGTGGTTTACACCTCGATAACAGGAGAAGCTCAGAACGAAAGGCCACCAAAATGACTTTGGATGAAACCACATTGTGACCGTTTGAGTCCGGAATCCTGGTCTAGATACCGGAGGTTTTGATTAACACCTCTGTGGTGTACTCCACCTGTTGATGGCACCACCAGAGCACCAGACGTTCACTGTTGAAGCAAAACACTGTGACCACTGACAAACCCACTGGTTACTCTCTGCCTGCCAGCAAAAGAGTTCCAACCTGCAGATGCCTCTATGGCCTCTACAGGACCTCTGATGGTGCACAGTGGTTTCTGGTGCTAAGACATTTGAAGAAGATCCTTTAAGCCAGGGATCTCCAACTCTGGTCCTCGTGAGCTACTGTCCTGCAGGTTTTAGACGTTTCCATCCTGCAACACACCTGATTCACATTCATGGATCTCCAGCAGCTTGTTGTCAAGTTCTACACAAGTCTGTCAATGATCCATTAATGTGAGTCACGTGTGTTGCAGGATGGAAACGTCTAAAACCTGCAGGACGGTAGCTCACGAGGACCAGAGTTGGAGATCTCTGCTTTAAGGCCTGAAAGGTGCAAGGTGGATCAGTGTTGTTCCTGAACATCACACAGCAAACCGCCACCAAGTCAGTTTGTCTGTCCTTAGACGTTAGTAGGTTCATCATTCATTCATCATCGTTCTTTTTTTTTTTTTTTTGGCACCACTCTATGTATATTTTTTCTGCTCAGATGTGTATATTCTTGTATATATTTATCTGATCTTATTTTATGCTTTATTATTCTTATTTATTTTTTCTCTGTCTATAGTTATTCTACTTTATTGTTATTATTGTCCTCGCTAATTCCCAGGGCGACACCAACAGCCAGAACCAGATTCCATGTATGTTGTGTACATACTTGGCCATTAAAGCTGATTCTGATTCTGATCAGGCTTCCTTTGATGTTCTTTAGCAAAGTTTCACCTCACAGTTTTGTTGTAAACAGCAAGTCACTTTGAATTATTTGACATCACTATGCTGACGACTGCAGCAGTGCTTAAGCTTAGTTCCTGGTCCCTGCCACTTACAGGGGCTCCCAGCTGGATGTCACTCAAAATGGAACTGTGGCTGTTCTTAATTAGCCGCAATGTTTTTTTTTGTTACTCAATATAAAATTGACTGTGAATGTGGTAAATCTATTCATGAAACAGTTTTAGTTCTCTACAGTCTTTCCAGGGTGAAAACTCCTAACTAAGCACTGTTAGAGGCATTGGGGAATACTCTAGCAAAGTGATTAAATACTTGAATGTTACTGGGATATTTAGGCTCTA